TTATTTGATAGAAATTCTTTGTTAGTTTGACATCCTCTGAATCATTTGCTATAGACGGTGTCGTCATGAGAATTGCTTTCTGCACAATAAGCACAAAGGAGATGAAAAGTCAGATCAACAGGAGCCCCCCCTTCAAAGACTCCATAAAAGGCTGGTGTATGTTGGAGAGCGTCCCACACACATTACTGTCCAGTGATTCACTCTGTCCATTTCTAGCCCTCCCTTGATGGCTAAACACAGACTGGAGTAAATTATAAACCAAATTGCAAAGTTTAGGCTTAGAGAGACACTTCGGGCACCAATACTACTTTAAAGGACCACTATAGGCACCCAGACCACTTAAGCTTAATAAAGTGGTCTGGGTGCCTGGTCCAGCTATGGTTAACCCTTTTTTTAATAAACATAGCAGTTTCAGAGCAACTGCTATGTTTATAAATGGTTTAATCCAGCCTCCAGTGGCTGTCTCTTGACAGCCGCTAGAGGCGCTTGCGTGCTTCTCACTGTGAAAATCACAGCGTCCATAGGAAAGTATTGTGAATGCTTTCCTATGGACTGGCTGAATGCGCGCGCAGCTCCTGCCGAGCATGCGCATTCAGTCGAAGAGGAGGAGAAGAGGGAGGAGAGCTCCCCGCCCGGCGCTGGAGAAAGAGGTAAGTTTAACCCCTTCCTCTCCATCCAGCCCGGCTGGAAGGGGTCCCTGAGGAGTATGTTTTCCTGGCACTATAGTGGTCCTTTAATGCACTTGACAGGTTTTGACATCAATAATATGCTGTATTTTTTGCATGCTTAAACCTTTGTGGTTTTTGACAAAATGCTGCACCATATGCCTGCCTCTTTAGCCATACCCCCTAACTCCAGAAAATAGACTTCCTTATCAAAGGTATGCACTCAGCTCCTGACAGTACTGAATGATCTGAACAACAAAACAACCTGCATTAGGACAGGACACCCAGGAAGTCATATAGTAAGGATAGCACCACCTGTTTGTAGTTTTAGTGACTGACTGCAGCCCGTTTTTAAATTAAAAACCGCTGCAGGCAGTCAGTTGGACTAAGACAGTGTGCCTACCTTTCATAAGGAACTATTTCTTGCCGTAGGGGTTGTGGCTAAGGAGGCAGGCTTATGGCGCAGCATTCTGCAAACACATTTTATTTTGTGCAAAAACTATTAAGATTTGAGCATGCAAAAAAATGCAGCATAATAATGAGTCTACAATCTATCAAATGCAGTAAAGTTGTATTGGTGCTTGGAGTATCCCTTTAAATATCTTCAACTTGGCTGTAGGCAGAGCTTGGCTATTTTGGGCAACCTTTGCAATCGGTTTATTATTCATTCCAATTTGGTATTTAGAGAACAAACAACCTATAGTTCTCTGACATAATTGTTATTTTCACATTTCCTCCTTGTAACGAACTGTACTAATATAACGGTCTCCCCAACAGAGTGCAGCCCTCCAGCTCCCTGCCACCCCAAAGAGCGTTCTCCCCGGTGCTACTCACGTGGAGACATCCACCAGGGAGAGGCGCGAACCCTAGCCGACACTATGCAACTACTAGGCAGCTTCACAACCGCAGAGACCGAGCCGACCAATGGTAGAAGCGCTACCATTCAAATTGGTTTTGCACCCTTTCTCCCAATTGGTCATCAAAACATCTCCCCTCCCTGGATGCTGATTGGCCACTGCATGTACGCGCCCTTTCTCCCGATTGGCCGCAGCTTTCACCGGCCTAAACCAAGTGATCTTGTGGAACTGTTTTCTGGTATGTACAGAGCCTCGAGCCCTTACTTTACACAATGATTTCTCAGGCTCTGTACATCCGATCTCTCCGAAATTTGCAGGGAACATAGTTCGGATCTATCCAAGGATGTAGAGCATGTGGGTATGCATTACTGTGTTATTTGTATTTTGTGGGGTTTTGTGTGTCGGCATCCTGTGTCTGGGAAGATACCCTTATCTCCCAGACACAGCGACGCCGGGGCGGGCTTATGTTTTACATTACTGGGGGTCTGTGTATAAATCCTGTGTATCTGGCCTTCAATAAACAGATCCTGTTGAACCCTTCATCAAGTCTAGGCTGAGGTAACCAAGTGCTCTAATCACAGCTTCGCTTGGGAAATGGGAGAATTACAACAGATATACTCAGTCGGAGTATAGGGGATCCGTTACACTCCTAATTCTACCTTTACTGTATCATAATTATGGAGACTCTTGGTACAAGGTTTCTCTTAGTTGTATGTATGACTGTTCATCATGGATTGCTGCATGATGTGCCTTATGTAACGCAAGTCAGTTCCTTTTTTGAGACATTTTGAGGACTCCATATGTATTGTTCTCTAATGCTTTAAAACTCCACATAATGTTTTCTCTGAGGGGGTGCAACAGGTTACATTATTTTTCCATAGCAGTACCCCTTCACCTCTTCTTCCTATTTGATAGAATTGTTTCACAGTGATGGAATATTTAAAAACAGTACTGAAAGACTTTTGATGGAATAATTTCATCATGCATATTTTTGATTAGAAGACCCATGTATCACTTAATATCTGGGGCTCCACTGTGTCAGTTGGGGCCAGAAATAGTGACCTCACTCTGATTATCAACATGCAGTGCACAAAATGAATGTTGCATACATTCGTTGCAGGAAGTTTAAAATCCTATTGTGATACTCTTGCAATATGATTTAGCAGCTGAGAGAGAAATATACAGTGATCTCTATGCACTATATGGAAATCCTTTGCACTATATGCACTGTATGGAAATCCCTGTGCAGATGTCAGCAACAGACGGTATGGTTTAGCGTTAGGGTTAATGTATTTAGGATTATGAATGGTTTAGGAATAAGGGATGACTTTGTCATGGGAAATGCCTGTCTTTAACATGGTGTGAACTGCAACTCCCATGATTCTCAGTCTGCTTGACTGGTTAGTTGTTTGTATAAATAAAAATAATCTTATTCTGTCTTTATGTGATGTGTCCTTATTGTATGTTTCATGCTCCCTCTGTGCTTTGTGAATGTAAGTTATTATACAACATTCAGTCGTCTTGTTATTTTTGTAAGTGGTTTAAGGGAGGGAAACATCCAACCTACGAAGATATGTTTGGAACAACTCCTCCTAGAACAAATCAAGGCATATTGTGGTAATGTCTAAGGACATATCTGCTGAGTTGTTTCTAATTAAATATTCAGTCCTGTGAAAGTAAAATAAGGACAATGACCTGTTTAGTGCATCTCGAGATCTTAATCACTTGAAAATACCAAAGGAGCATTGTTTATGGGCCAGCTCCAGGTAGGATCACATCGACCTCATGATAGTAACATGTTTAATGGGTTAAGCTGCCCGTGCCAGATTGACTCCAACATTAAATTAAAGGATCTGCTTGTGCCTGAGGTTTTCGAATTCCTCACAGTGATGGATCACAGACGGAGAGGAAATAAGCAAATTTGGAACACTCCCAAACCACTGTGTATCAGACATTTAAACATCCTCGTTCATAAGCGGTAGCTATCACGGCATCTACCTAAAATATGAGTTAGCCTTAGCGCCATTGCTTGATGGAATTAATTCATGTATCCTCACTGACTGTGAAGAGGAAAAACCTTGATCCAGTCCCAAATGGCAGTGAGAATATTTTTGGTATATTTATTTGTCCAGAAAATAGGGATTATGGATGCACACCAAGACTATGTGTTAGTAGTGTAGAAGTGATGCTTCTGGAATTACATTTATAGAAAACACACACATAGTTATCATTGCACACACAGAATCAGAGTTTAAAAATATACAAGGTCACTTGGAATCCTCTTTTTAAATGAACACTATTGTGTTGTAGTGCCCTGGTGCCAATGTAGCGGAGCTCCTATACCCTGGCAGGGTATCTCCGCTGGAATATCCCTCAAGCTGTAAGAAAGCGCTGTTTAGGGTTATAACCCTTATTCCCTACACACATCAGAGGACACTTGATGTTGGGACAGTGACAAAATGTAATGGGACAAGGTGGTCTTTTATATACAGACCCCCAGCATGAGGTGTCTATTGTTCACATAGCTAGTCACTCCCTGGCATCTCTGTGTCTGGAAGATAGTCACCTCTCGCTATATCAATTATCTCCCGGATACGTTCCGTATAGGCTATGTACGTCTTACATAAAAAAATTAATAAACTAAACATTTTTATAAAACAACCCCCACAAGCAATACACTGTAAAGGTCTGATCTGAGCACCCATTCTAGCAAAAGAGCTTACAGAATTGTGGAAATTAGTTCCACATGATTTGTAGCTATATCCCGCTGGAATCATAACAGCTTTCCCCAACTCTCTGAAACTGTTGGAGGATAGGAGGGGAAGAGCACTCTCAGTATAAGTCCAGGAGGGAAGGTAGGGAAAGCCAGGTAGAGTGAAATAGTCTTTATAGAACAGCGGTACAAGGCTGGTACTGCCACAGGCAGTTCAGGTCCCTAACCCCCAGAAGTAAAAAAGGTAGTTCACCTCGCAGCACCAGTCTTCAAGTACAGAGCATGGAGACACAGAATGTAGGTGCACCTTGTATAGCACTGCCATCGGTAGCACTTTGGTGGCTGTCTGCTGCTTAGTGACACCTCTAGTTACAGTCACTCAATGTAAACACTGTCTTTTCTAGGAAAAGGCAGTGTTTCCATTGAAAAGCCTGCAGGGACAGGCTATAGACACCAGAACCAGTCCCTTTTAAAAACTGAATTTTTGTCTTTAAAAGTAAAGTTCTGTTGTACAGTACTGGCATTGCAACAGGAAAACTAAAACTCCTAGTGAGATCTCCTGCTCTCTTAGATACAGAAACGTGACCCAAACAAAAGTTTTTTTGTTTTTTATATATATTAAACTATAGCAATGATTATCATCAGAACAAAAAGCACAGAAATTCAAATTACAAAACAAATTAATTATGATATATTTAATAAGTTATCATCCCTTTCTTTTCTTCACATACCTACATTTAATTTTTTTTTCCTGCAGACTCTGACATGAAGAAAGACATTGAAAGTCTTATAGCCCAGGAAAGAGCTGACATCATCGGCAAATATGAAAAGGTAAGCTAATGTTTAAACTGAAGACATTTTGTATCTATTACTAGTGAACCATGCAACAAAAGTGTTTCTCATATATTATTTATATATATATGTGTATATATATATATATATATATATATATATATATATAGACATATTTTCTCATGTTTTTCTAATCGTAGTAGATTAATTTGAGCAGTGACGGACCGCTGTTAACCATTAAAATGTTCTTAAAATAAAATGTTATTTTCAGATGTGTGTCATGTTGAATTTCTCCCTTTCTCTACCTTGTTCTTTTGGTTTCTCAGGGAAGGCAGCAGGGAGCTCAGATTGACCCGTGGGAGGATGCTGACTTTGCTTTGTACAAAGTCACTGACAGATTTGGATTCTTACAGTAAGTTCAGTGAGAAGGGATGCATGGTGATTATGGTTAATTTTAAGTAGTGGAACCATATATGAAATAATTACTGTAGATGGCTGCAACTAACCATTTGTGGAAAAATGCTGCTTCCCAATAATGCATTCACTCTGATATTGCTGTGTTTTCTCGTGGATGTAGAGCTAAGCATGGGCACACTGTAGAATATTGCATATTCTATGTTTCTATTGATTATATATATGGATGTGTGGATTGACATAAGTAACAGATGGTATCAATAAGTCACAAGGCTTTCTTTGTCCGAGAGCTCTGGAATGTGGATGTGGGGGTTTTGTCCTTATATGGCTAGAGTTATATGCTGACGTTAGTATTAGCACTTCTATATAGTAACAGAGGGACACGAGGTCGCAGTCTCACTCTTGGCTTGGCTCTGTACAACGATGTAACTCTCCCATCAGAAGTCCAGCAATTACCATCTGCTGTTGAATGTCCATTATCCTGTAACATCATTTGTTGTTTTATGTATCCGTAACTAAGAATAAACCTGAAGAAACCGTAAGTCAGATTGCGTATTACTACTTTTCAATAATATAGACATATATTATTGTGGCGAGCATTTGGCCCAAGATTATATATACAAAAGACGTATATATATCAATCAACTGAAGATAAGAAGAAATTAAGAAAGAGTCTACATTAACATCCATTCATCTAGTTTTTTACATTGGCTAGCCAGCCAGTCTTCTATTCAAGTTTTGTTCCCACTTCAAGGGGGGAGAGAGAAGAATCGAGTTACAAAGCTATTTTGGAACTGGGAAAACAAACTTGAAGAGAAAAAAAGAATCTAGACTGACTGTCATAGAAGAACTGTGTTTGTAAGAAAAAGAAAGTTTTCAAATCAAAGACTGTACAAGACTATTTTCTACAACTGAGACAAAAAGCACAAGATACAACGTGAAATCTAGAAGCAAGCACGTGGCAGACATTGGCAAATTTCCAGATCCAAGCAAAGAACTGCGCAGCTGTGTGGATGAAGCAACGAAATAGACAGAAATAACTGATCTGGTAAAGCGTGACAGATCCATGTGGCAATTAATCAGGAAAGCATTCCTTTAGACAACTGGACATCGACTGTTGGAAAGAGACTTTTCATCTGATCGGCAAACAGTGATGGAAGATTCTACAGAGTTCATTTGATACAGAAGATTAACAGACTTACAAAGAAATAAAAGATTGACACTAACATACATATAAATTCCTAAATATTAATGAAGAAAACAGACAATGAAAAGTTATTTAACAGTTATGACTATTAATACCAAAAGAGAGTACTTATAGCTATATAACACATGGAGTACAATTATGAAAAGAACTATTATATTATTACCTATACATAGGATGAGAAGTATCAGAGGTAGATAAAATATGAAGTTGATAAAATAAGGATCATGGTTACTTAATACCACAAAGATTGAGTTCAATAGTATTTCATAGATTAACTATAATGAGTAATTTGTTTATATCGAGGTGAAGTAAAACAAACAATGGTAACATAAGGAAGAAAACTAAGGAAGGATAATTTATATTGATTAATATTAAGTAATTATATACATTAAGAAAGCCTTGGATATAAGAGTTCAAAGATCCAAGAGGAATTGAATTGAATTGAAGGAGTATAGTACACAATTATATTTGACCTAAGTCTATAAAGGTATGGACTAGGGAGAATAGGTTTCTGGATATGATGGTATCCAATGAATACATTGTTAAGTTGTTTATGATTACCCTGAGTTTGTTAGACACAGACTAGGAATAAGAGTTTCTGGGCAGTATGACCCCAAGTTTATTTTATTTTAATTTAGTCACTTGAAGTGTACTAAGGAATACGGATTGGTCAGAACATTAGGACAATCCTGCTTTTAAAATGTATTACATTAATAAGTCATCACAATGCTAATGAAGAGAGTGATGATAATTAATTTAAATTATTCTTTCCAAGTTATTTTAAAGTAAACTATGTTTCTATGGAATGAAAAGTTTGTTACTACAAGGTGGAATTTTAGTGAAAATTATAATTATGTAAACAAAAACAAATCTATGTTAGAAAGATTTCTGGGTGGAGAATTTCTAGGACAATAAGTATTGTCAACACCAGGAACATTATTTGAAGAATTATTATAGAACTTCATGGTTGATAACACATCATTTGAATGAGACTTATAAGTAGTGTTGGTATATTTCAGGTAGTGAGAGCCTACTGAATATACAAATTAAATACTATGATTGTAAAGTACTGATACAATCATCACTAGGTGGTATTAATGGTATAGGAATGTAATTCATGAATACAAATGATAAAGATTTTAAGTTGCTAGAAACCATACGATTCATGGATATATAATTGGACAGGATATTATAGTAATACATGTATTAGTACTTAAATAATATCAGGTATTGAGAATGAAAATACTATGCTATATGTGTCTGTAGGAATATGATAGTGATACACAGTTATTATTATTTAGAAAGTTACGATCTTGGATTTTGTTATCTACAAAGATACGACTGTACCAGAGCAGGTAGATCTTTCTCATTGCTTTACATTGTTTATTGGATCAACATTTGTAAATATTTTATTTTATTCGTTTATTATTGTGATATATGTATATATTATGTTCAAGTAGTTATGATGTAACATGGATATGGATATCAATACATAGCTGAAACAGAGGGAATTTGAAGTAAAGTAAGCAGTATGAGGGATAGAAACTCGACCTTCTAAGAACTCTCATATAATAGAAAGTTGTGACTACATCTTGTTCTATGCTCAATGAATGTGATACAAGTGATGTATGAATGGACAGGTTAGTGACATTGTGTTATGGTTTTAAAACAAACCATAAACAGAGGGAATGTAGAATATTGCATATTCTATGTTTCTATTGATTATATATATGGATGTGTGGATTGACATAAGTAACAGATGGTATCAATAAGTCACAAGGCTTTCTTTGTCCGAGAGCTCTGGAATGTGGATGTGGGGGTTTTGTCCTTATATGGCTAGAGTTATATGCTGACGTTAGTATTAGCACTTCTATATAGTAACAGAGGGACACGAGGTCTCGCAGTCTAGTCACTCTTGGCTTGGCTCTGTACAACGATGTAACTCTCCCATCAGAAGTCCAGCAATTACCATCTGCTGTTGAATGTCCATTATCCTGTAACATCATTTGTTGTTTTATGTATCCGTAACTAAGAATAAACCTGAAGAAACCGTAAGTCAGATTGCGTATTACTACTTTTCAATAATATAGACATATATTATTGTGGCGAGCATTTGGCCCAAGATTATATATACAAAAGACGTATATATATCAATCAACTGAAGATAAGAAGAAATTAAGAAAGAGTCTACATTAACATCCATTCATCTAGTTTTTTACACACACTATGGAGCCCATATAATTTATAATATAATATTTAATGTATTGTATATAATGTTGAAGTCACATAGATTGAGTATGCATTTTTTTTATTTATAGCCATTTATTTGTATGAACTGTTATTGAAATCAAACGGTGTGATATTTTATGTATTGTAATGTTTTGATATTTGAGTATCCTTAGATCAGGGCTTGACAAATTTGCTTTGCATCTTGGAGCCAGCTAAAAAAGTTAGAAGCCAGATTTAAAAAAAAAAAAAAAAAACTTACTTAGCTTTATATTCAACAACAAAAATAAAATTCTTAAAGGGACGCTATAGTCACCAGGACCACTACAGCTTAATATAGTGGTTCTGGTCTATGTAGCTTGTCCCTGCAGGCTTTTCAATGTAAACACTGCCTTTTCACAGAAAAGGCAGTGTTCACATTGCTTCCTAGTGGCACCTCTAGTGACTGTCACTCAGATGGTCACTAGAAGTACTTCCTGTGTCAGTGCCTACATTTAGCGTCTCCATGCTCTGCATGGAGGTACTGAATGTTTCCCATAGAGATGCATCGATTCAATGCATTTCTATGAGGAGATGCTGATTGGTGCATCGTTTTGCAGCTAATACTATGGGAAACATTGGATTGGCTGAGATCATCAAGCTTGATGATCTCAGCCATAAAAGCAGAGCCAGTCGAGGAGAGACCAGCACGGCTTGGGGAAAAAAAGGTGAGTAAAAACACCATTCCTTTGCGAACACAATAGTGCTGGTAACCTAAACACACACACACCTACCATGACAAACAGACACACAGACACACACACCGAGACACACCATGACAGACAGACAGACACACACACACACACCATAATAAACAAAGAATCCTGCACACTGATACCATGTAAATGATCCGGCCATCCACAGTGGAGGAGCGCCGTGTCTGGCGGACATCGCTGGACCCACCAGTAAAGTCTTCAAAAGGAATAAACGCAGGCAACACTCCAATAGTAAGGATGGTATATTTGATAGGTGAACCACCCCATAAAAAGTGCAACGTTTCGGCTCAGCTGAGCCTTAATCATGCACACTCACACTAACAGACATGCTCACAAACTATTGCTTATATTGATACCTGTGGGGTCCAGTGGGTGACCTGCCAGTGGAATGTTCAGGCAGGCGTCATGCTGAGAAATCATTCAGGCGGCCGGCAAATTAGAGGATTGTGTAGGCGGGCTGCATGGTGGGGGAATATGGAGGACGACGGCATGCTGGGTGGTCGTGGAGGCAGGCGGCTAGGTACATGAATAGTAGGCGGCGAGGGAGCTGTAATTTCTCTGCTCTGATCTCTCACGCTTAATGAGACTGAGGCCTGCGTAGGAGCAGAGACATTACAGCTCCCTCGCCAACCGCCTAATATTCGTGCAGCTAGCCACCTGCCTCCACGATCACCCAGCATGTCGCCCTCCTCTGTATTCCCCCAGCATGCAACCCGCCTACACAATCCTCTAATTTTGCGCCCGCCTGAATGATTTCTCAGCATGTTGCCCACCTGAACGATCCCCTGGCTGGTCATCCACTGGACCCCACAGGTATCAATACAAGCAACAGTGTGTGCGTGTGTTCCCCCAGCATGCAGCCTGCCTACACAATTCCCCAGTCTGCCTCCAGGGTAACAGGCTCACATATCCAAAATTCCTGGGCACCATGGCGACCTGGTGCCTAGGATTTGTTGAGCACTGCCTTAGATGGTTATTTTCTTTATTGGACATTTTACATAACTCTTTAAAATAGGTTGGCTCCTGTGGCTGCCTGAGTTAGTCCAATAATGTATATGTAAAATAATGAACTATTGCAGTTTCTTGTAATATCTTTTAATTGGACTAACATAATTATCGGACTAATAATAATATTATTATTATTATTATCAGCATTATACAGCGCCGACATATTGTGCAGCGCTTCAGTCACTACAAATTTCTGTTAGTCCAACACAACCATTATTGCAAGAAACTGCAATATATTTGCATTTGGATTCTAAAGTATACTAGCATTTATCATGCACTTAAATATGTAAACACTTAGTGGCCAACTTATTAAGGTCAAATGCTTGTCAACACAAATAGTTATCAATCAACTTAACATATAAAGGAAACTATGTCAGAAAAAAATTGCTGTTGATAGACCAAACATTGAAATGAGAAGCTTAATGTAGTTGTTCTGGTGAGTATTGTCAGTCCCTGTAGGCTTTTTGCAGTAAACACTGTCTTTTCAGAGAAGGCAGTGTTTACATTACAATAAAACACACTAATTGAAAAAATCAATTAAAAATACATAGGATTTAGTGGAAATGGAAATGTGTAGAGCACTTCACAATAAATGAATGTTAATGTTTGCTCTCTTATTCGAATACAAATGTATCAGCTGGTCCTGTCATCACCACCTATTAGATAAGGAAGGCAGAGTCTATGGACTGCTGAAATTAATCTAATATAAGTTCCAATAAGTTATGAATCCAATATATATGGCTAGTAAATATGTGTAAAAAGTTAGAATCAAGCCCCTCCAAGGGTTAAAATCCACTGCAGCAGACAGATACTTTTTAAAGTTTATTGAATGATAAAAAATGCTACACACACATGTAGCTATTGATAAAAAAGGGGGTCCCAAACATGAGTTACAAAAAAGATAGCACCAGTACCAGGTTTAACAGACCTCGAGCCCAAAAGATCACTTTCTTGCCGGCCGGACAGAAGTGAATTGGATTTTCCTCGTGCTGTATGCTGCTGGTTTCTAGCCGCGTGCGTTCCACTGCGGCTCAGGATGCGTGTCAGAGGTGCTCACTCTCGGGACCGATGTGTATTGGTTTGCAGATGCCGCCTTACTAGTTTCGTGATTCTTGATCACTTCATCAGAGGATGGCATCATGGAGTCTGCAATCTTCTTTTTATACTTGTTCTGTCTGTCTTCATTAGTATCACGTTAACCCTTAAGTCTATGTACAATGTTGCAATTCATATCAGTATAAATAATATAAGAAGTTGACACATGATATATTGTTTGTTTTTAGCCACACATATATAATGGAAAACTAATAACCATAAAAAAAAAAAAGGGGAATTATACAAAGGCAATATAAAAGGGGACAATATAGAGAGGGGCAATATATAAAACAAGGAAAATATATAAAGGACAAACAACCAAATAACCAAATACTAAAGAAATTCTAACATATTATGTGGTATATTGGTTATTATAAATACATTATAAAATCTTATATTCCTTCACAAATACATCCCAAAAGCAGTGATCAATAGATTAAAAATTTCTTGCATAATAGAAATACTCTAAGGATGGGTTATGAATATATATAAATATAAAGTATAGCAATTCAAAAAATAAAAATTAATTTATCAAAAAGTTAAAAATTTATAAAAATTTGGAAAATTAAAAAAAAAAAAAAAAAAATTTATTAAAAAATTTAATTAATTTCATTGATTTATAAATCACCTGGAGAGAGAAGAGGAGAAAGATAAACACATTATTAATTGTAAAATTCATTTGTTATAGATACACACTGAAAAAAAAAAATTAAGTAATTAAAGAAAAGCATTTAGTTCAAAATCAATATTTAAACCAAAGGGCTCTAAACTATTAAGTTGAAATATCCATTTAGCCTCACTTTTGTCAAGAGCTTTTTCGTAGTCTCCTCCCCTCCAATGCAAGTTCACTTTTTCAATAGCATAAAATTCTAAACCTGCTGGATTATTGGAGTGGCAACTTGCAAAATGTCTGGAGAGATTATGTGTAGTAAGTCCCTTTTTAATGTTACGAATATGTTCTCCTAGTCTAATTTTAAACTTTCTTTTTGTCCGACCTATATAGTGTTTCTTACAGGGACATATTAGGAGGTAGATAACTCCAATGGTATTGCAACTTAGATCTGATTTTATTTCAAATTCTTCATCCCCTTTCATGTTTTCAAATTTCTTTGTTAGACCTGTTTGGGTTGGATTGTTTCTACAACCAGAGCATCTATTACATTTTCGAAATCCACCAGCTTTTTGATTATTGCTTGATAGTTTGATTTCTTTTATCGTTGGGGCTAATATGGTTTTGAGATTGGGCGCCTTTGAGTAGAAAATCTTTGGTCTATCATCTAATATCATACCCAGTGAACTATCTTCTTTAAGGATTCTCCAATGCTTATTCAGAATATGCTTTATTTTTCCTGCTTGATTGCTAAATTGTGTGATAAACGCTGGGGTTTCCGTCTCCATTTTCGATGTCTTATTCTTACTTATCAATGTTTCTTCCCTAGATAATTTCAGGGCTTTATCCATTGCGTTAGTCAACATGTTGTTATCATATCCTTTTTTGAGAAATTGGTTTTTCATCTCCTCCATTTGATTTATACAAATATCCAATTCTGTACAATTCCGTCTTATCCGTCTGAATTGTCCATAAGGTATGTTGTCCAGCCAAGTTTTCTTGTGATGGCTGTCTGAGGGAATAAAGCTATTACAAGCAACAGATTTTCTAAATGTTTTTGTACAGATCCTCTCCTCTTTGATGTAGATTTCTAGATCTAGAAATTCTACCGAAACTTTTGAATGATTAAAAGTGAACTTTAAATTATAAGGATTAAGATTGAGGTAGTTCTTGAATTCATTAAGGGAACATAGATCGCCTTTCCAAATAAAGATACAATCATCTATGTATCGCCGCCATAGGACCAGGTTTGCACTATGTGGGGTATTGCTCCAAATGAATTCTTCTTCCCACTTTCCCATAAATAAATTTGCATAACTTGGTGCAAACCTGGTACCCATGGCGGTACCCTCTGTCTGGAGATAAAATCGATGTTGTGCCCAAAAGGTATTGTGACTCAGAATAAATGCAATTGCTTGAACAAGAAAACTGATCTGATCATTCTTTAGCTCAGAGTATTTAGCGAAGGAGTGTTGTATAGCTTCACATCCTTGAAGATGTTCAATAATCGTATATAAAGATGTCACATCAGCCGTTACTAAAAAATATCCTTCTTCCCATTCAATATTTGATAAAGCTTTAATAATTTGTGTGGTATCTTTCAAATATGATGGAAGTTGGATCACCATCGGTTGTAGGAACTGATCTACATATTGGGAAAGATTGGATGTCAGTGAATTAATTCCTGAAATAATTGGCCTTCCAGGGGGATTGATAAGACTTTTGTGGATCTTAGGCAAATGATAAAAAACTGCCGTTCTTGGATATTTACACCAGATAAAATCATATTCTCTTTTATTTAAAATTCCTCTAAGTTTACCATCATTTATTAATTCCAAAAATTCTTCCATACATATCTTCTGAGGATTTTCTGTAAGGGGTAAATATGTATTAGTATCACTGAGCAGTCTAGTGGTTTCCTTCTCATAATCCACAGTGTTCATTAAGACTACTCCTCCCCCTTTGTCGGCAGATCTTATTATTATGTCAGGGTTGTTAGTAAGTGCTTTCAGAACTTGCCTTTCTTTGAAGGTTAAGTTGTCTTTAACCTTTCTTCCTTTCTCCAGCTTACGCAAGTCTTTCTCAACTAATCTTTCAAAAACCCTAATTGTGTCATTTTTGACTTGTTTTGGGTAAAAAATGGATTGTGGATGAAGATTTGTGTGTATATATCTCTCCTCTTCAGTCTGTTTTGAATATTTGTTTTCTAAAAAATATTTTTTGACTGTCAATTTCCTTATAAATTTATGGAGATCTATAAAGGTGTTAAATCGTGAGTTTTTCTTGTTGGGAGCGAATTTTAAGCCTTTTTTGAGTATATTCATCTCATTAGTATTCAGATGGTAATCAGATAGGTTGAATACACTCTCTTCTCCATCGTTCTCTCCTATATTCGTTATATCTGGATTATTTCTCCTCTGTCTTCCTCTCTTCTTTGCCTTTTTCTTTGTATTGGAGACCGTAATATTTCTCCCCTCTCTCTCCATGATTTCTTTACAGCCATTCTCGTCTCCTCTCTCTTCTCTAAAAAATCCCCTAAAAAATCTTTTTGATGGGGTGAAATGATAGATGGTGTTAAACATTGTTTGGTCCTAGGGGAATTAATATGTATTTCCCTTCTGTCTTTACACAATCTTTCGTCTTTTTGTAAAATATCACTCCTCCGTTTCTCATTTCTTATATGATTATTCTCTAAATATAACCCACCTTTCGAGGGGGATTGTCGTGGGTTATATTTGTATTTCTGTCTCTCATATGTACCTCTTTGAGATTCTGATCCTCTCCTCTCCATTGTTCTCCCTTGATTTCTAAAATGATTTCTGGAATTGTTGGGGGAATGGTGGTAATTGTGATAATGTGCCCTTTCTTGTATATTTCTTACTGGATTAAATCTCTTCTTCTCCATTCCTCTCACTTGGTTTTTCCAAACGTGTTCTCTTCTATTTGGGGTTCTGTTTTTCTCCCATTGTTGGTGTATAGCCCATTCTGATTTGGTATAGTTCTGTTTCTTCCAATTTCTTTGTACCCCTTTATCATAATCTTCTTTATCTCTCATAATTTTTCTCCTTTTGCCTTCTCCTATTTTATTATCCAAGTCTTTTACTTTCCTCTCTATCTTATCGAGTAATTCTGCATATAATCCATTTTCAGTTTCAGGAGATAAGTCTGTTTTTAATTGTTCAATTTCAATTTCTAATTGTTCCAACTCTTTCTTTTTTTCCCCAATTAGGAAGATAATTAAAAGTAGGGACCCCTTATCTAGTAATTGGTCCCATTTTTTCAATATATTTTCATCTTTCCTTTTATAAGCTAGGGGTTTTTGTAACCTCAATCCCCTTGGTACTAGATTGTTGGAAACATAGAATTCGAAACTGGTGATGTCCCACCAGATTTGGGTTTCTTTCTCTAATAAATCTCCTAATTTGTAGATTTTCAATCTGGTACATGTTGGTTGGGGTGAGGGAGTATGATCATTAACCCTCTTTGTTCCATTCATCTCGTTAGACATCATTTGGTGAAATGTATTTCTCCTGTTTTCTCTAATGAAATTCAAATTTCTATTTAAAGCCATATCTTATCTTTTGTTGGTGGTAAAATGAACAACAATATGATAAAACTTAGTAGATATACACCAAACAAATTCGGTAGAGTATCTTTCTAAGATTAAAAATAAAGATTAGATACGGCTACCATAACCACTGTATCACTAGTATAAAATAACCACCACCAGGGGTTAAGCAATCAAAATAAAACACACTAATTGAAAAAATCAATTAAAAATACATAGGATTTAGTGGAAATGGAAATGTGTAGAGCACTTCACAATAAATGAATGTTAATGTTTGCTCTCTTATTCGAATACAAATGTATCAGCTGGTCCTGTCATCACCACCTATTAGATAAGGAAGGCAGAGTCTATGGACTGCTGAAATTAATCTAATATAAGTTCCAATAAGTTATGAATCCAATATATATGGCTAGTAAATATGTGTAAAAAGTTAGAATCAAGCCCCTCCAAGGGTTAAAATCCACTGCAGCAGACAGATACTTTTTAAAGTTTATTGAATGATAAAAAATACTACACACACATGTAGCTATTGATAAAAAGGGGGTCCCAAACATGAGTTACAAAAAAGATAGCACCAGTACCAGGTTTAACAGACCTCGAGCCCAAAAGATCACTTTCTTGCCGGCCGGACAGAAGTGAATTGGATTTTCCTCGTGCTGTATGCTGCTGGTTTCTAGCCGCGTGCGTTCCACTGCGGCTCAGGATGCGTGTCAGAGGTGCTCACTCTCGGGATCGATGTGTATTGGTTTGCAGATGCCGCCTTACTAGTTTCGTGATTCTTGATCACTTCATCAGAGGATGGCATCATGGAGTCTGCAATCTTCTTTTTATACTTGTTCTGTCTGTCTTCATTAGTATCACGTTAACCCTTAAGTCTATGTACAATGTTGCAATTCATATCAGTATAAATAATATAAGAAGTTGACACATGATATATTGTTTGTTTTTAGCCACACATATATAATGGAAAACTAATAACCATAAAAAAAAAAAAGGGGAATTATACAAAGGCAATATAAAAGGGGACAATATAGAGGAGTGATATTTTACAAAAAGACGAAAGATTGTGTAAAGACAGAAGGGAAATACATATTAATTCCCCTAGGACCAAACAATGTTTAACACCATCTATCATTTCACCCCATCAAAAAGATTTTTTAGGGGATTTTTTAGAGAAGAGAGAGGAGACGAGAATGGCTGTAAAGAAATCATGGAGAGAGAGGGGAGAAATATTACGGTCTCCAATACAAAGAAAAAGGCAAAGAAGAGAGGAAGACAGAGGAGAAATAATCCAGATATAACGAATATAGGAGAGAACGATGGAGAAGAGAGTGTATTCAACCTATCTGATTACCATCTGAATACTAATGAGATGAATATACTCAAAAAAGGCTTAAAATTCGCTCCCAACAAGAAAAACTCACGATTTAACACCTTTATAGATCTCCATAAATTTATAAGGAAATTGACAGTCAAAAAATATTTTTTAGAAAACAAATATTCAAAACAGACTGAAGAGGAGAGATATATACACACAAATCTTCATCCACAATCCATTTTTTACCCAAAACAAGTCAAAAATGACACAATTAGGGTTTTTGAAAGATTAGTTGAGAAAGACTTGCGTAAGCTGGAGAAAGGAAGAAAGGTTAAAGACAACTTAACCTTCAAAGAAAGGCAAGTTCTGAAAGCACTTACTAACAACCCTGACATAATAATAAGATCTGCCGACAAAGGGGGAGGAGTAGTCTTAATGAACACTGTGGATTATGAGAAGGAAACCACTAGACTGCTCAGTGATACTAATACATATTTACCCCTTACAGAAAATCCTCAGAAGATATGTATGGAAGAATTTTTGGAATTAATAAATGATGGTAAACTTAGAGGAATTTTAAATAAAAGAGAATATGATTTTATCTGGTGTAAATATCCAAGAACGGCAGTTTTTTATCATTTGCCTAAGATCCACAAAAGTCTTATCAATCCCCCTGGAAGGCCAATTATTTCAGGAATTAATTCACTGACATCCAATCTTTCCCAATATGTAGATCAGTTCCTACAACCGATGGTGATCCAACTTCCATCATATTTGAAAGATACCACACAAATTATTAAAGCTTTATCAAATATTGAATGGGAAGAAGGATATTTTTTAGTAACGGCTGATGTGACATCTTTATATACGATTATTGAACATCTTCAAGGATGTGAAGCTATACAACACTCCTTCGCTAAATACTCTGAGCTAAAGAATGATCAGATCAGTTTTCTTGTTCAAGCAATTGCATTTATTCTGAGTCACAATACCTTTTGGGCACAACATCGATTTTATCTCCAGACAGAGGGTACTGCCATGGGTACCAGGTTTGCACCAAGTTATGCAAATTTATTTATGGGAAAGTGGGAAGAAGAATTCATTTGGAGCAATACCCCACATAGTGCAAACCTGGTCCTATGGCGGCGATACATAGATGATTGTATCTTTATTTGGAAAGGCGATCTATGTTCCCTTAATGAATTCAAGAACTACCTCAATCTTAATCCTTATAATTTAAAGTTCACTTTTAATCATTCAAAAGTTTCGGTAGAATTTCTAGATCTAGAAATCTACATCAAAGAGGAGAGGATCTGTACAAAAACATTTAGAAAATCTGTTGCTTGTAATAGCTTTATTCCCTCAGACAGCCATCACAAGAAAACTTGGCTGGACAACATACCTTATGGACAATTCAGACGGATAAGACGGAATTGTACAGAATTGGATATTTGTATAAATCAAATGGAGGAGATGAAAAACCAATTTCTCAAAAAAGGATATGATAACAACATGTTGACTAACGCAATGGATAAAGCCCTGAAATTATCTAGGGAAGAAACATTGATAAGTAAGAATAAGACATCGAAAATGGAGACGGAAACCCCAGCGTTTATCACACAATTTAGCAATCAAGCAGGAAAAATAAAGCATATTCTGAATAAGCATTGGAGAATCCTTAAAGAAGATAGTTCACTGGGTATGATATTAGATGATAGACCAAAGATTTTCTACTCAAAGGCGCCCAATCTCAAAACCATATTAGCCCCAACGATAAAAGAAATCAAACTATCAAGCAATAATCAAAAAGCTGGTGGATTTCGAAAATGTAATAGATGCTCTGGTTGTAGAAACAATCCAACCCAAACAGGTCTAACAAAGAAATTTGAAAACATGAAAGGGGATGAAGAATTTGAAATAAAATCAGATCTAAGTTGCAATACCATTGGAGTTATCTACCTCCTAATATGTCCCTGTAAGAAACACTATATAGGTCGGACAAAAAGAAAGTTTAAAATTAGACTAGGAGAACATATTCGTAACATTAAAAAGGGACTTACTACACATAATCTCTCCAGACATTTTGCAAGTTGCCACTCCAATAATCCAGCAGGTTTAGAATTTTATGCTATTGAAAAAGTGAACTTGCATTGGAGGGGAGGAGACTACGAAAAAGCTCTTGACAAAAGTGAGGCTAAATGGATATTTCAACTTAATAGTTTAGAGCCCTTTGGTTTAAATATTGATTTTGAACTAAATGCTTTTCTTTAATTACTTAATTTTTTTTTTTCAGTGTGTATCTATAACAAATGAATTTTACAATTAATAATGTGTTTATCTTTCTCCTCTTCTCTCTCCAGGTGATTTATAAATCAATGAAATTAATTAAATTTTTTAATAAATTTTTTTTTTTTTTTTTTTAATTTTCCAAATTTTTATAAATTTTTAACTTTTTGATAAATTAATTTTTATTTTTTGAATTGCTATACTTTATATTTATATATATTCATAACCCATCCTTAGAGTATTTCTATTATGCAAGAAATTTTTAATCTATTGATCACTGCTTTTGGGATGTATTTGTGAAGGAATATAAGATTTTATAATGTATTTATAATAACCAATATACCACATAATATGTTAGAATTTCTTTAGTATTTGGTTATTTGGTTGTTTGTCCTTTATATATTTTCCTTGTTTTATATATTGCCCCTCTCTATATTGTCCCCTTTTATATTGCCTTTGTATAATTCCCCTTTTTTTTTTTTATGGTTATTAGTTTTCCATTATATATGTGTGGCTAAAAACAAACAATATATCATGTGTCAACTTCTTATATTATTTATACTGATATGAATTGCAACATTGTACATAGACTTAAGGGTTAACGTGATACTAATGAAGACAGACAGAACAAGTATAAAAAGAAGATTGCAGACTCCATGATGCCATCCTCTGATGAAGTGATCAAGAATCACGAAACTAGTAAGGCGGCATCTGCAAACCAATACACATCGGTCCTGAGAGTGAGCACCTCTGACACGCATCCTGAGCCGCAGTGGAACGCACGCGGCTAGAAACCAGCAGCATACAGCACGAGGAAAATCCAATTCACTTCTGTCCGGCCGGCAAGAAAGTGATCTTTTGGGCTCGAGGTCTGTTAAACCTGGTACTGGTGCTATCTTTTTTGTAACTCATGTTTGGGACCCCCTTTTTTATCAATAGCTACATGTGTGTGTAGCATTTTTTATCATTCAATAAACTTTAAAAAGTATCTGTCTGCTGCAGTGGATTTTAACCCTTGGAGGGGCTTGATTCTAACTTTTTACACATATTTACTAGCCATATATATTGGATTCATAACTTATTGGAACTTATATTAGATTAATTTCAGCAGTCCATAGACTCTGCCTTCCTTATCTAATAGGTGGTGATGACAGGACCAGCTGATACATTTGTATTCGAATAAGAGAGCAAACATTAACATTCATTTATTGTGAAGTGCTCTACACATTTCCATTTCCACTAAATCCTATGTATTTTTAATTGATTTTTTCAATTAGTGTGTTTTATTTTGATTGCTTAACCCCTGGTGGTGGTTATTTTATACTAGTGATACAGTGGTTATGGTAGCCGTATCTAATCTTTATTTTTAATCTTAGAAAGATACTCTACCGAATTTGTTTGGTGTATATCTACTAAGTTTTATCATATTAGTGTTTACATTACAGCCTAGGGACACTCCTCAGACAGCCACTAGAGGTGCTTCCTAAAGCAGTGATATGCACTATGCAGCACTGACATTCAATGTCTCCACCCTCTGCAGGGAGACACTGAACTTTCCTCATAGAGATGCATTGATTCCATGTATCTCTATGAGGAGATGCTGATTAAACAGGGTGGCATCTGGCTTCACCACTAGCCCACCTCTTTAGCCGAGATAATCAGAATTTACAATCTCCGCTAATCCAATGCTTTCCTGCGGGAAAGCATTGTGATTGGCTAAGATCATCACTTCTGATATCATCAGCCAAGGAGGCAGATACAAGGCAGGGGCAGCACCAGCATACTGGTATAAAGTTAAGAGTTTACTATATTTAAGAGGGTAAGGGGGCAGGGGGTTTAGATAGTGTTTTTATCACTATAGGGTCAGGAATACATGTTTGTGTACCTGACCCTGTAGTGTTCTTTTAAGTTAGGATGATTGTTAATTGAGTGTTGATGCCTTTTGCCAAAACATTGGATGTGATTACTAGTGTTGATCATGTTGTCCAAGCCCTCATCTTACCTAGAAGTGTTTTCATTTGGATAGTCATTATAGTAGATAGTCATCCATCTATGTATATTTACAAATATATACATAGTTGCTCTCTATTTTTTTTTTTCTTTTGTGGATATTCATGTATAGAAATGGACTGTATTTATTAGTCATTTATGTGTATTTGGAGGTTAATTGTAAATAGTACAATTGGAATACTTTACGTTTTTGTAGATTTTTATTTGTAGTTATCTGTCTGTCCTCCTCTAATCAAATCTACATTATTGAATCCATATGGCAAGTAATCCTGGCTGTTTTAGGAATAAAATGGGGTCCTACCTACGACTAAATAGATGCAGCTGATATGACCACTGAGAGTATACCTGTTCAAGTGTAAAAACATTTTAATACAGTGTTTTTGTTTTGATTTGTAAGGAAAATATATGCTTTCATCCTTGAGAAATTTCCCCTGTTGATAACTGTCCAGTAATGTGTCATCTAATAGAAAAGTGTGATCATCATATGAAGGGAGGTGTAATTACATATGTCTGATGTATTTGTTCTGCCTTTTCAGTGAACATGAGTTGCCGTCACGCAGTGCTTTAGAGGAAAAGGTAATTGGTCCTACACTCTAGTTTTTTTTTCCTCTTATTTTTTTATCAAATGCTTTCTTTCTCTCCTTGTTTGCGCACTTTAAAGGAAAACTGTCATAATTTCTATTATTATTGAAAATAATAGGCTAACATTATTATTATAAAAAAAAAAGTAATATTGCCTTTTGTATGTATGCATAAATATAAGTATGCAACTCTTTAAAGTGCTGATCCTGGGTTATCTTTACCCAGTGAGGGTAGCCATCTTTAAACCTTCTTTGGTCAGAAGCATTTCTTATCTGTTCACACCGTGCAGTTATCTTAGTTTTATGGATACTAGCGAATGCCAGTCATCTCAAAATCACGCTTCATTTCAAATGATGATTGCTTCCACAGAGCAAGGTTAACCCAAATGGCAAAATAGTTTTACAAATTGAACAGTAATAAAAAAAAGTAAAAAATAAAAAAATTATTTTACTTGAAAGTATTTCTTCATGATTTTAATTTAGTTTTCATTTGCTATACTTCTTTAAAAATGTATTTCTGTTCTGTTTTGTGTTGTGTTTACTTCTGTCTCACATTACCCCATTGAAGGGACACTATAGTCACCAAAGCAGCTACAGCTTAATGTAGTTGTTCTGGTTAGTATAATAGCTCCCTTCAGGCATTTTCATGTAAACACTGCCTTTTCAGATAAAAGGCAGTGTTTACATTGCCCCCTAGGGTCACCTCCAAGTGGCCACTCCTTAAGTGGCCACTGGAGGGGTTTCCTGGCTCAGGGCTGCAAAGTAAGCGTCCCCAGGTCTGCCGTGGGGACCCTGAATTTTCCTCATAGAGATGCGTTGATTCAATGCATCTCTATGAGGAGGTGCTGATTGGCCAAAATGGTGTTTGGCCCTGCCCCCTTGCCAATTTGAGCCAATCCAATGCTTTCCCCATAGAAAAGTATTGGATTGGCTAAAAATCGTCAATTTTGATGATGTCACCAAGAGGGTGTGGCCAGCATCGGGAAGACCCGTGGAGATCTGAAAATAAGGTGAATTTTAACCCATTCTGAGGGGGCTAAGGGTGGGGCAAGCCACCTAAATGGTGGGTTTTCACTATAGGGTTGGGAATACATGTTTGTGTTCCTGACCCTATAGTGAAGAGTCACATGAATAATTTTTTAAAGATTATGTTATAGTTATTTTGCTGTTCACCATCATTCAACATGACTTCTTTTGATACAGCAAAAACTACAGGAGATTGAGCGTGTGGACAAATGGCTGAAGATGTTGAAGAAATGGACCAAGTACAGAACCAGTGAGAAAGTAAGTTAAGGTTGTATAATACATATATTCCTAGAGTATGCAATAGCTACTAAATCTATAACAAAAACTATTGCAATCAGATCCAAACACCGTAAATAATGCTTCAAAATTAGAGCATATCGATGTGCCCTGCATCCACACTTCTCACATAAAAAATACTATTCTTAGATCTGCGAGAATGCAGTCAGAAATATTGTATGAAGTTTCCTTTATCCTCTACTAGTAAAATGTAGGTTGATCTGGCTAACTGGGTTTATTTAGCATCATTCATGCTACATACATTGTTGCCAATGGGGATATAATTGATTCCAGAGCACTGTATAATTAGGTTACAAGAGGATAAGTCAAACAAACTAAGCAAGTAGTTCTGACAATGGATCAATAATGCCTCGATCCAAAGAATCCCATCTGTGATACTGTACTGGTAATTTAATTAGAAAAGTATGTGAAAGAGAGCACAATATGTATAATTAAAGCGCCTACATATTTGTGCAAATTTATTAGATTGAATTTTACTAAATTAGTGGGTATGTTTGAATATTTTTGTGTGTATGTAGATACATATGTGCAAGTATGAATTAACTTTGACAATATTGTTATATTTTGCCTCTTTTATTATGTTATATCTAAAGCTGCTATATTTGTATTTTGTTCTTGTTTGTTTTAATTTACATTCCCATTACTGTTAAAGAGGCTCTTTATGCACCATTCCAAACACAGTACACTAGAATGGTTATGGTGCCAACATGCCTCTGGCTTTGTCCCCTGGATATTTGTCATACCATATGAAAAACAAAATGTCACAGCCTGGACCCACTCTTTGCATATTGCTTGTGTGGATGTTGCAAATGTCCTACTTTGGACAGCATTCATTGGCTGAGTGCATTGCTCAGTCAATGATTCTGTCCAAACATGGAGAAATGCATATTCCTAATGTGACAGACTACCTGGTCACCCAGGACTGATACATGTCTTCCAACCACCACCTCCCTCTAAAAAGGACTATGATCACCATATTTACCCCTCCAGCCCGTGTCTCCCAGCCCAGCGCCCTTTCCAGCGACCCAGGAGTCAACACAGACCGAATGGACTTTTTTAGTAATTTATTTCTGTTCTGTGGAGACACTGCAACCCTCAACTCCTGATCGGTTCTCTGAGTTGCCTCGGTCTGGTAATAGCTTGTCCCAGGGTGCTCTGCCCCAGAGTCACCTATCAGAACACTATTTGAAAGGGGTAGTAGATGAGGTGGTAAGGCATCGAACGATACCCAGGACTTGAAGTTCTATGTATCGACGGAAAGCACCACCATTTTCGGTTACTGGGATTTTTCACCAAGCGCTATGGCACTCTGCGCTGGATCGGAGGATGGTCACAGCCTGGCGAAAACTTTACTTCCAGCTAACTCTGGATCGCAACCTCCGATCTGATTGCTTTTTGGACAGTGTAGATGCTCAGAAGAGAGTTTTCTAGTATGGCATTTGTTTAGGGATGTGTGTACAGGAACCCCGTTTTTATTATAAAATTATTAATCCAAGCCGAGGTGTGTGGACGCTAATCAAATTACCTTATTTGGTACAGACTCCTAGGTGCCAGGTATGTCGCAATGTTCATTGTTCTCCTGGACACCTCCTGTTGGAGACCAAGGTATAAAAGTGTGCCATTCATTCAATAAAACCAATTATATTTCACCCTACACTAAGTCTTGGCTAGTGCTTGGGGTGAATATGCTATAACGGCTATAAACACTATACTATGTTCTCTGCACTATAATCACTGAGGGAAAGGGAGTGCTTGGTGGCAACACTCGGGTAGGTGCAAGTAGGCCACTACATCTGGTGACATCACTAAATCAACCCTGAAAGTATTGCTGGAGGTTTGTGGACATAGCACCAGCAACAAGTCTAAGAGAGCACTAATTGCCAAGCTCATGGATCTAGACCGGGCCAGCTCAGCGTCATCTGCCTTCTTGGGGCCCTCACAGAAGTCGAAATAAATTAAAGAACTTTTTTTTTGCAGAAATCAAAAAATTGTTCACCAGTTTTATTTGGTCGCACAATCACCGAATGCTACCGTTCAAATTACTAACTGCACATAAACACCAAGGGGGCGTGAGTCTCCCAGATATAGAAATGTACTACAGAGTGGTCATGCTTTCCAGAATCTACCAATGTGCACTCCTTACAAACCGCAAACATTGGGTTACACTGGAGAAAGCAGCCTTCATGCATCAGCTGTGCACTATTCCTTGGCAAATGCATGGTAGACTTTCTCTCAGACCAATACACGCACACCACCCCACGATTATACCAACACTTAAAATATGGGGAAATATAGACCATCAGTTGTGGCTGGCTGAGCTGCAAAGAATGGGGCCCAAACTCTCCCTGCTGGAAAAGAGGAAGGTTCTATTCACTGCTTTCAAATTCATTGCTTTCAAATCCTTCAAGGAGAATGAGGAGGAAATAGATGAGTCTCTGGCTGATTTTGAGCACCAATGCGCCCTACACAAGGTGCATGAAGAAGATTGGATCTCAATACTGGCCGGCAATCTCACCGGAAAGTCAGTTGATGTGTTCCATGCAATCCGTGTTTAGGAGATCCATAGCTGCGAGCGTGTGAAGGAAGCTTTGCTACCTCGTTACGCAATCACACTGGAGTCGTACCACAGAAGATTCAGGGAGCTCCGAAAGACTGATTGGGGCTCTTACGCGATTTCGCCTGCCGCCTACACAGTGCTGCCTCTCGCTGGGTAAGGTGATGCCAGGCTACCACCACGGATGACATCTTGTAACTGGTACTCTTGCAGCAATTCTTCAATGTGGTCACACCAGAGGTCCGCGAGAGGTCACATTACGCGAAGAGGCACAGTTAGCCGATGAATATGCCAACTCCCAGAGCAAACACCGCCAACAAATAGTGCTGAGGGGGAATCTGCTACAGTATCTATAAACACTTTGCTATGTTCTTTAACCTAAATTAGAAAGGATGTAATGTCCCACTAGGGGACTGTGATGTGGATAAGGGAGCCTAGATAGAGGGTAACCCTTATATATATTACAAAGTCAAAAATAGGCATGTCCATGGAAACGTGGATACAGGGAAGGTCCCTTATGATCTGAAATATCAGAGTGGAGAATAAAAATGAAATAAAATAAATACGTTTATTGTTCCATTCTCTAAAAAACCAGGGGGAAACCAACAAACACCAACAAGAGCTTTAAGGGAGTGTGAGCTCTATTATAGAAATCAGTATGGGGAAAGAGATATAAAGATCAACAGAATGTTGTACAGGGATAATGTACACTGTTGGAAAGGATATTATGTCCTGATAGGTATAAATACCTAAGTTAGACAATAACGTTACAGCTAAATGAAGAGGGTACACTAGGGTGTGTGTGTGTGTGTGTGTGTGTGTGTGTGTATATGTATGTATGTGTATATATATATGCACACACACACACACACACACACACACAGGGATAACCTATTATACAGTGGTGATACTGGATTGAAAACTCGGACCCAGAATCAGAATAAACACCATGTACAGTTGCAAGAAAAAGTATGTGAACCCTTTGGAATGATATGGATTTCTGCACAAATTGGTCATAAAATGTGATCTGATCATCATCTAAGTCACAACAATAGACAATCACAGTCGGCTTAAACTAATAACACACAAAGAAAGAAATGTTGCCATGTTTTTATTGAACACACCATGTAAAAATTCCCCTGGTTGGATAGCGTGAGGAAAAGGGTGTACCTTGCAACTCCTCCCCTCCTTGAGCCCTGATTGACCGCTGCGGGTTCGCACCTAAACCAAACATTGGCCAATCCGGAGAAAGAGTGCGAACCCGCAGCGGCCAATCAATTGAATCCACCGGCCTAACCTTGTAACTCTTCCCCCTTCTTGAGTCCTGAGTTAGCCGTTGCGGGTTCGCACCCTATCAGTTGAATCCACTGGCCCAAACTTGTAACTCTTCCCCCTCCTTGAGCCCTGATTGGCTGCTGCAGGTTCGTGCCCTTTCTCTGCATTGGCCGCAGCTTGGTTTAGGCGTGAAAGTTGAATCCATCGGCCTAAGCCAAGTGATCTCATGGAACTATTTTCAGGTATGTACAGAGCCTCGAGCCCAGACTTTACACAGTGATTTCCCAGGCTCGGTACATACGATCGCTCCAATATTTGCAGGGAGCATAGCTCGGACCAGGAGCTATCCAGGGATGTAGGGCGTGTGGTGTAGGGCATTACTGTGTTCTGTGTATTTGGTGGGTTTTTGTGTGTTGGCTTCCTGTGTCTGGGAGATACCATTATCTCCCAGACTCAGCGATGCCATGGTGGGTTTGTGTTTTACATTACTGTGGATGGAAACCCCATGCGGGGGTCTGTGTATAAATACTGTGTATCTGACCTTCAATAAAGAGATCCTGTTGTACCCTTCATCAAGTCTCAGCTGATGTTTGGGTAATCAAGAGCTTTAATCACTGCTTCGCTTGGGATTTGGGAGACTTATAACGTAGATACTCGGTCGGAGTACAGGGGATCCGTTACACTGGTGGCAAGTGTGGGATGTTCTCCCTACCACCCTAACATACCTAGCGGAACCGGTAGTGAATGGACCCGCAATACCACCCTGTGAAATGGAGTACCTTGAAAGGGCTGCTTGAGGTCCGAGGACGTGTGGCTAGTAACAAATCGAAAGCCACCCTTGTTGCAGAACTAATGGAGAACGACAGGTCCAGCACCGCTTTGAACGGGGGTACGGAGGAGAACAAATTCCAGAAAGATGTGCGTTGGAGGCTAAAATTCCTGGATCCCAACCTGTCCCCAGAGATGGCGATGCAGGTGATGGTTCAGGCTACGGAAGCCCTAAAGGCGAGAGACCCACGTTTCGGAGCTGTGATCAGAGGTACCGCTCCCCTACCTGTACCGACGGTAGTTGCACCAGGGAAACTGAACTATGCTGCCTTTAAAGCCTGTACAGATGGAGAGGAGGATATTGACACCTATCGCCAGGATTTTGAATGGCAATGCGCCCTGGAAGGTCTGTATCGGGCTAAATGAGTTGCCATCCTAAGCAGCAAGTTGTCTGGGCAAGCGGCCAAGGCATACCGAACAGTGCCAGATGGCGAAATTCACCAATATCGAAAAGTTAAAGAAAGGCTGATGACCTGTTGTGATCCTGGAAGCCTACCGGAGGAGGTTCCGAGATGTAAGGAAAGTACCTCAGAACTCATACACAGAGTTTGCCTTCCGCATGCAATAGGCGGCCCATAACTGGTTGCAAGGGTGCCAAGCGGTAACGCTGAAGGATGCTGCCCAACTGATCCTCTTAGAACAGTGCTTTAAACTTATCGCACCCAAGGTCCGAGATTGGGTCAAGGTCCGGAAACCCCTAACGGTGGAGGAAACACCCAGGCTGGCTGAGTATCATGACTGTCGAAGGCCGGAACCCCCTACTGGTCATTCTGTCACTCGACCCAACAACCCGACCCCCACCCTGCTACCTACCCCTAGGCCAGCTCCACAGTGTTCCATGGCTACTCTAGGAGAGCCACGGCACCCCCATGCTGTGACGTGAATGTAAGCAACCCAAGCATTTCAAGAACTGCCCCCAACGAAACCGTATGGAGTGGAACAGACTTCCCTCTAATCAGCCACGAACCGCGACACACTGCATGGAGGGGGACCGCCCCCTGGCATGACCCAAACGCCACCCAGGAAATTTGACCAGTGCTCCATGAGGTGGACCTGGTACAAGCTGCGGAGGACAACTGGGAGCACGATAGGCAGGTTGTCAAGGTTAATGGGAGAAAGGCCCAGGGGCTATGGGACACTGGGGCCACCTTGACTCTAGTCGAGCCATGGAAAAGACCGGCCGGACTGTGACCGTTAGAGTCGCTGGCGGGGCCATCCACCGAATCCCAACCGCATGGGTGCACCTCAACTGCGGCAACGGGGCTAAGTACAGGGAGGTCGGCCTCATGCAATATATCTGTTTTCTATATTACGTATATGTTACAATACCTTACACTGGTAAGATTTAGTGTATATATAGTAACACATTCATTGTGATAGTCCTCCTACACCTGAGCCCTCTACAGGGACACTTATGTATTGATATATTTCTTTTCAATTTCTCTGCCTAACCATTATCTCTAAACATTTGGGGATTTAATTGGTTTGAGCAAAGTGACTACGCTAGCCTTAGAGACTTTTTACCTCCTATTGCTATAAGAATGGCTGATTGCCATCCTATAGGTCTCATACTATATACTAGTTGCAATAAGGATCGTTTAAATAGTATCTACATACTTGACAACTTGCTCCTGACATAGCTATTGAGACTATCAGTGGCTGTTCAATAAGCAAGATTTGTTTATTATACATATGCAGATACATATTTTCTCTGGATCAGTGTGTCTAAGATCAATTTCACATAGACATATATGAATATCGTACCTAGCATATATTTGTTTCTGTCTCTGCTTGTTTATAGGTTCTATTCTTATATTGTTATGATTGCTTTGAATGCCATCCTCTTCCAATATGTTTCAAACCCTTTGCACCCGTGAACGATTGCGGACTAGTGTCCTAGACCGGGTTACTATGACAACCCATATACAAATACGCCCCCTTGCTTTCCTGCTATCTCTAAGCGAACTGCTGGAACGCACGCAGACTGCTGCAATACTATCCAGTACCGGGTCAATTCTACCCGCCGAAATTAGCGATCAGCTACGGCAGTCAATGTTTCTTTGTGATTATGTTCGTTATATATTCACTGGTTATGGAACCTGCACCTTATCCTGACGAAAGTTCCGACTGGGAACTGAAACGTTGTTTCACTATGGCATACTACTGAATAAAAGCTAAGTTGATACTTTTTTCATCTTACTAACAAGTCCTTGGAGTGCTGTCTATAATTTGTTGTAATTTTGCTGACAAGCACCTGGCTAATTTTATTGCTCATACTGGAGTGCAAGCATTGGATATTTTATTTATTTATATATATATATATATATATATATATATAAATATAATATATTGTGCTCTTGTTTATATACTTTATTATAAGTGTCAATAAAAATACACAAAGCTTACCTGTGGGAGAATTCTAGTAAGCTTGGAGCTAATACATAACTGAAGTGTGTTTAAACCCGGATTAATTGTATACCTCAAAGTAGTAGTCTGGGGCTAATGGTTGATCAGTCATCATACTGAAGCAGCTTTATACTGTGCTTTAACCTTTAATTTATTGTGCACTATGACTCCCATGATTGCACCTATGTGTTACATGTAGATGTATAAACCTTGGTGTTTATTCTTGTAGATGTTCCGCAGAGTATACAAAGGAATCCCTCTTCAAGTAAGAGGTCAGGTTTGGTCACTGCTTTTGGATGTTGATGCAATGAAGTCTGTGAACGAAGGAAAATATGAGGTATGATTATGATTTTAACTATCTTTACTTAATTTTACCAATTGATATTCAGCGTGACAGAAAATGCAGAAATATTCAGATATATAATATCTAAATAATGGGTCTGCATTGTATGTGTTTCACTTTGAAGTATTGCAATTTAAAACAAAAAATGTATAAATTCCAATAATCCTTTCTGTAGAAGGTGATTAATAGGAAAAGAGCCCAATCTAATTAGTAAGCAGCCGTACGAAACAACCAAAAATCTTTATTACATATCAGCTAAAAGCCGCTATTGGGGAGAGCTCTCTTCTACAGAGATAAGAATAAAACTGGATTGATAGATAGATAGATAGATATCCTGATAAATGGGCAGGTAATACTCTATGAGGGAGGGTAGGTAGTAGCCAGCTCATGTCTGAATAAAAAGAAAGGTCCTACCTAAAATAGAGTCTCCAGATGCTGCGCTAAGGATCCACTTTAAACCATAATCTACCCCTTAAGACTACCTCCAAGCTGGTTTTAGTCCAACTTGTGCCATTACAGAGAAAACATATCTGAAGCATATCAGACTGGTCCCACCCGTATGGGCAGTCCAGATCTGAAATGCCAGCAAGTTCCCTCTGCACGTGAGATACGGCAACCCCTGACGATCGTTTCAACCTTGTAAGGTATTATCGGTGAGGTATAGGCCTCTAGGCACTGTGAGAAAGGGGTCCACGTCTGGATTGCTCTTTAAACTTAAGGAGAGAAAAATAAGTAGCAAGAGAGGTGAAAATGGACAACAGCTCAATTAGCCTGGCCTTCGGTGTTGGTCTTTTTGTAACTCCTTTGTTGCAAAACTCATAATAAGGATTCCTTTTTTGCATTTTAGTTATTCTTAGATCTCAAACTATTACCTACAATTTTTTTTCATTTTTTTTTTTTTTTGGCTGATATTAAAGAGATTTTGTTATATTTTAATTATTTTCTACATGTTTAGATTGTTATGCCCTGACATCTCAATGTTCATCTTAAGGCAAAAGTAAACCTTTAATGTAAATCCACTTACTTTTTCCTCAATTGTTTTCTTATCTTCAACAAACTGCATGTGAAACCACCTACAACTACCTATGTTGGAAACTCCCCTCGTGACTGTTGAAGGCAGATTTTCCAACTCTGTAGATGAGTTGAATTTCATTTCAACATACATAACCTTCATGGGAGTTTGCCACAAAATGCCCAATGATTTCAATAAGTATTGAAAGGCTTGCAACTGACTAAAACAGGAGGAATCTTAGCAGGGAAGGGCTGACAACTTTTGGCCTGGAAGGCAATGGCAAAAGAATATACTTATTTGCCCACAAAACTCACAGAACGTCTTTGCAGATGGTTCTACACACACTGTGCATGGGTTTGACTGGGATAGAGGCTGTTGGAGTTATGATGTGTGACATAGTACATTGCTGTAACCTTCATCGGTAAGGCCTGTTCAGCATGCAAGTGCATTCATAGAGATATGTAATACAGACTGTTTCCAATAAGTCCACATCTACATCATGCGTACTTAGTCTGGCAGCATGGTCAGCCCCAGATGGACTACCACAGGCCTGGAGAGCATAGTGAAAGCATAAATCCACACAAGACTGAGCTTTTACATAGCAGAAAGCAAAAGCTATGTAGAAGTTCTATCTGCTAACTTACTCCTCTAATTCTCTGCCAACCTTCCATAACATCTTTCACTGATTTTAATCTGCAGAAGAGCTGTGTTGTGCAGCTGCAGCCCACAAGACTTGTATGCAGGACTAAACATAAAGCAACATAGGCGGCTGCCTAGGTCCCAGGGGTTTGAAAGGGGACTTGGTAAATGGGGCAATGCAAATTCATGATTCCATCTCTGTGTGAAGAATGAAGTGGGAGCCCAAACTGATGTTATGCCTAGAGCTCTATCATAATCTTTCTCTGAAGCATGTTACATGGGTCACAACGGCCATCTATCCCCTTTCGCAAATCCAAAGTAGCATTGACATAAATATTTTTCTATACACATGCTGTTTCACACAACCAATTGCTTCCGTTATGTTATGAGTATACTATAAAAACTTCCAAATATAGAAATGTTATAGTTCCTCTTTTCATGGAATATATTTTGCTATACGTAGTAACCTTGGCTACTTAAAGAGGATCTGCCATATTACAATAAGTTTATTTTTGATTATTGAAACCAGTAGTGTATTTAAAGCAGCACTGAACAACCAGTGTTTCATAAAAATAGAATCCTTATGAAATACTAATTTTGACAGTGTTGGATTTTCACTGAAATTTCCAACCCAGTCATGAGATATACTGAGGCAAAGTAGGGACTACTTTTGTCTCTGTGTATTTCCTTCGCCTGTCAATTCTAGACACTGGGCAAAGCTACTGCCGTCTAGAAGTACCAATCCACCCAGCCGGCACCAAAGATGGATGCAGGGAATTGGCTCGGTCTATGGACCCCGGATCCTCCATAGGTCTGGTGACTGCATTTTCTGAACTTTGTCCAGACCTGAAAGTGGGTCAGTCAAGCGTGATGGTCCCTTAACTTTCTATGGCAAAGCTTAGTTAATTTATCCTATTAATAACTATACAGCAGGAATTTCTGTAAATTGTATTTCCCAGTTTTCTGCACAGAAAGGTAACAGTCGAACTACAGTTCCCTAAAGCTTTTGGTATACATCATGTACAGCTGTATTATTTAAGCAATAAGTCGAGCACTGCAGAGTTGAAGAGGCTGTGGACGGAAAGAGTGTGATTGTGGGGCAAAATGAATAAAAAGTAAATAAATAAATAATAAAAATCATTGTTATGTATTCCGAGGGGAGAAAAAGCAACACATTTATAGCAGTGATAGTGATACACCTTGAAAGCAGTTCTGATTTGGTTTTATATTTGGACTGTTCTAAAACAGAAAATGAAAGATCTGGCCAAGACATACTCAGCAGAAATAAAGCAGATTGACTTGGATGTGAACCGAACATTCCGTAACCACATCATGTTCCGAGAACGCTATGGAGTCAAGTAAGTGATGTGCATATAGCATTGCCATTCAAGTTTTATCTATTTTTTAACCATATGTGATAAATGGGAAGCAATCTGTACAAACAGGAGTGCTCCATATTTAGTGTTTTAAAGTGACACTCTAGGTACTACTTCCATTTCATCCCATTGAAGTGGTTAGAGTGCATGGTATTCCCTGGCATTGTCACTCAAATCAGTTTTAAACTGTTTTCAAAGATTGTAACACTGAATTAGGATCCTGGCAGCCCACAACCCAACTTCCACTGGAGGTATTGCTAAGGCAAAGTTTACAATCTTTTTAAAGTGCACTATACCAATAGTGCTAGTGCCATAATGTGCAAATAATACAACAAAGTGGTATGATTAATTGTGCAAAAACAGTGTTAAGTGCAACAATCCACTTAAATCAGTATATATTCACCCCCCGGTACAATCAAAGCATCGCTGGAAACCTCACAAGTAAGAGGGCGTCCAGGAGGGAAGTTTCACCAGAGAGCCCTTCACAAAATAATCCCCAAAACAACAATAAAACAAACCCAACCCCCACACACCATACATCCTCAGATAGGTTTGATCCAAACAACATAGCGTTCGCACCAATTGTCAGTCAACTAACGGAAGCTCCTGTGGCTTCCCCTGGCTCTCAGGAAGTGATTGTCCAGCATAGACTATTGTACCTCCAGTGAGCACTCTCCTAGCACTCTGAGAATTAGGTGAGATCAAGGGGTAAGGCCAAGCCTGAGTTCTAAGAGAATATGGCCATGTCCCGCTAGTGTCCTTTTTGTTCCCTCCGACTCCCCCAAATCGTCAGCAGGCAAAGTGGAAAGTAGCATTTCGGTGTGTAAAATGGAAGAGAAGGCAGAGAGAGCCAAGGACACAAAGGCCCTGGAATCAGGTAAGTGAAAAGGGGTTTTTAACCATTTCTGCGCCACAGTGGGAGCACTATACGGAGCTATAGTGCCAGGAAAATAACTTTTTTTTTATTTTTTTTCTGGCACTGTAGTTTCCTTTTAACAGGTCATCTCATTGAACTGGTTATAGTGACTGGAGTCCCCTGGTGCATTCCCTCGAGCAAGTGTTAAACTGTACTCCGGCTGCTCACACCCATGCCCCCACTGGAGGTATGGCTAAGGCAGAGATTACACTCTTCCCTAGTCATACCTGCAATGGTAGCTGCTTTAGGCTGAGAGCAGTCAGCTGAGGGGCTACAATGCTGGGTACCTCTCATTTAGTGTTAAATCATTCAAAATCAGCTTAACACTGCACTGATGTACAGCATTGGGGAACTCCAGGCACTACAACCAATTCTATAACATTTTTGCAAATCCCACTTATGCTGAGATTTTGATTTAATAGAATATCTTTTTAAAATCTAAACAAAGAAAATATTGTGACTCAAACATAAATTCTAATATACCCAATACCTAAAATTTTGTACTCATTAAGTTCAAGCAATGCAATCAATGTGCGCACTACAAAATAGAAAATGGTGCAATGCATTGTATAAATATGCTTCTCATTTTAAGAAACCTTTTGTCTTCATAACTGATATTTGCCATGTAATTCCTTAACAGGCAGAGGGCGTTATTTGATGTTCTATCCGCTTATTCTGTGTACAATACGGTGAGTTCCACTGATGTGTGAGTATGCAGATTTTCTAATAAGTGTGCTTGACACTGTACTTATATGTCCCTCATCTATTAGTTTATTGGGTTTGAATACAAGACACATTGATCTTGGCTGGGAGGACATCCAATTTACTGTTCTATCAATAGTTTATTTTCAATGTCTGATTGCAGCCTGTTCTAAAGTGCAACTTTTCAAAACCGCCATTTAGGCTTTCCCAGGGCTGCTTACATTTTGACTTATAGGAGCTTTCATCATCAACATAAGTGGATCATTCTGTGCTTCTGTCATTCATTACAGGAGGTTAGTTACTGCCAAGGAATGAGCCAGATTGCAGCTGTGCTGCTTATGTACCTAAACGAGGAAGACGCCTTCTGGGCTCTAGCACAGTTGTTGACCAATCAGAGACATGCAATGCATGGTAAGTCATGGCCTGTTTATTGGCTTTGCATTACATTTTAATCATAAAGAGCTGGCATTTAATACACAACTTGGTTCTAAAACCAGCATCAGTATCTAATATCTAGGTATATGGAAATTCTGCTTGCACGACATCTGCCCGTAAGTGGAAGCATTCTAAACCCTGACGCCAATTCTCAACATAGAACAATATTTTGTTGGTCTTGCATGACAATTCTTACTCTGCCCATGGAAGGAGTCAGGTTAAATCTTTCTATTTTGTATTAAAGGGGCACTGTCATGCCAAACTTACCTTTCCCTAATCTCTTCCTCTGTCAGGATCTGTTCTTTATTTCTTCCAGTCTGCATTAGTTTTCTTTAAAACAAAAGACAAAGTAGGGACTATCTTGTCTTATGTATATTTCCTACGCATGACCAGCGGAGGAGCAAAGTGTGCTCCATTTCCTGTGGTCAGAGCAATTTCCCACAATTCTCATCTTTCCTCCATGATATAGTGATGCCTCCTTTCACTATTCCCGAACATCCTGTTATTTAGACAGAACGCTGGCGAAACTACCGAATTTTGCCCTAACAGAATGAGAACAGTTTGTTCATTCATGTTAGGACTAGAGTCAATACTTTTAGGACGGTTCGAAATTTAATTTGAATGCATGAAATTCCAATATGATCCGTGCTGTGGCTGCAACTTCCAGCCGCTTAGTAGATAGCTCCCTAATTCCAACGGTAACAGGCAGCTATCTACCAAAAGGCTGAAAGACCAAGATTGGTCTTTCAGCCAACTTTACTAATTTTAAGTAAAGATTACTTGGTATTAGTAATTAATCTGCCCCTACTCTCTCTATCGTGAGTAGGGGCATGTTAAGTAAACAGTGAGCAGCCTGTTGTAAAAAATAGAAAATTAATAAATAAAGCACCCCCCCATAAATGGCTTCATGGAGGGCATCTCTTCACTAGCGGGCAGGGGGGACAGGGGTGTCTTCCCGAGCCCCCACCCGTGCCATGTGAGTGGGGGCTATTCAACTAAACGGGGAACGAAGGATCCCCCTTGGCCCCCACCCAAGAGCGGCGGGTGAGGCCCTAAAGGACAATGGGGGGGACCTATTGTCCTCCCTCCAGCCCCCACACATGAGCGGCAGTTGGGTGCTCTAAATGACTATGGGGGCGGTGACCTATTATCCTCACCACCCATGAGCGGCAGGTGGGGGCCCTAAAAGTCACTGGAGGGGGAACTATGGGGACCCATGAGTGGTGGGTCGGGGCCCTAAATGAAAAGGGGGGAACCTATTGTCCCCCCGGCCCCCATCCATGTGGGGGCCCTAAAAAACAATAGGTAGGTGGGACCTATTGTCCTCCCCCCAGCCCATACCCATGGGTGACATGTGGGGACTAAATGTAAAAATACCACCCCCAACCCAAATTTTCGTTTTAAATAAAGTCTCCCTATCACCCTCACCTTAAAAATAGTGAGGGGGGAGACAAATCTAAATACCTGTAATTAATAAAAAATAACTTACCATTTGTGGGTTAGGTGGGACTTGGGGACCCCTAGTCACCCCTAGGTGGTTTATTTTTACATTTAGCCTCCATCCGTTGCCCGTTCGTAGGGGCCGGGGGGGGAATAGGTCCCCCCATTTACATTTAGGGCCCCCACCCCCCGCTCATGGGCGGGGGCCAGGGGGAACAATAGGTGTTTCCCCCCCCCTTCCTCATCGTCTTTTTGGCCCCTACCAACCGCTCATAGTTGGAGGTCAAGGGGGACCCTATGTTCCCCATTTAGTTGCATAGCCCCCACTCGCGGGGCTAGGGGTGGACAATATGTCTTCCGCTAGTTAATAGATGTCCCACTATGGGGCCATTTGTTCGAAGGGTGGGGGCACTGAGGTTGCTCACTGTTTAGTAGACATACCCCTACTTGCAGCATAGCGATGAGATTTTTTTTTTTCCATTCGGCTATTTACTTTGAATTTCTGACCATTCTCGCTGTAGTAAATAGCACTGTTGATGTTTTTCCGTTATTGTTCATGTGTATGGGCTTTTTGTACCTAGCAAGACTCACAATACAGTTCTACAGAAACAAACTTTGTGCTGATGATACCTGTTAATGTTGAAACATACTGTTCACAAGTGAGTTCTTTTTCACTACATGTGTAAGCCATGCTGTGGAAACATGACTGCTGACTTGTCTGGAATATGTGGCGGTGCACAGTCCTTACTTTACTTACAGGAGAGGATATTCCTTTACTTTTTGACTTGCTTCAACTGGTCTGCATTTGTTGATTCATACAAGAGTGACATCTGGTGGCAAATGCAGGCACTGTGTATTGCCAAAGAATGATCTATTTCCAATTAAGGTATTTAATGGTTTATGCCAGGCTGTGTCCTCTTTAATCATGCAGGACTATAGTTTATTGCAGTGCATTATGGGAGCTGTAATCCAGCAGCCTTTTGGGGATGTTTCATATTACACTCTTGGTTTATGCATTTAAACATGTAGCCTTCACGTAAAATAATATATTGCTCTGTTTTGAGATTGTATTTTTTTTTTTTTTTTTTGAAGGCTTTTTCATCCCCGGTTTTCCAAAGCTCCAGAGATTTCAGAGTCATCACGAACAGATTCTTAGCAAGGTGTTTCCCAAGCTGAAGAAGCACATGGTAACACATATTTTATTTCAAATTATCAAACTACTAAAAGCAAAATCTAGATAATTATGCGCTGTTAATAACCACTCCAGTACACAATTTTAAAGCTGCTAGCAATAAAATAGTTTCTCCCAAAACTATACACAAATCAAACATACAATAAATGCCAGCACTAATAATGATGGAATGAATAGGTTAAAAACCTATGTAGTCTCTTGGTGGTTCGCAATGTAATGTTAACTGTAACTTAATGTCAATATATTGAATTCTGCAACAGCACTTTAACTTCATAAATTCTCTGGCAACAGTATCTCTTCTGCCTTATTAGTTCAATTATAAAATCCTCCATTGGTGTTATTGCTTGCAGATACCACAAACAATGTTACTTATCACTAAGATCCACAGGTTTCATTAGACACACAATGCTTAGACAGGGTTACCGTTCTGGCAGTGTTTCAGTTCTTCAGATAAGCCGTAAAGGAATGAAGCCTCTTGGCAGACACGGATTCTCCCCAGCGCTTACAAGCATTTTTGCAAAAATCAAAGGTTCATGCATTTCACCCACCTTATAGTTAAACTAATAAGGCAGTAGGGATACTGTTGCCATTGACTTTATAAAACTGAAAAGCTGTTGTTGCTATTTGTGGAAGTTAGTATATTGCACACTGTGACATTGTTACAGTTTATATTATATGGACCCCCAGTAGACTACAGTCTTTATTTCATCACAAAAGATAATATCTTAATGTGTTTGTCACTAGGAAAATATAAAATTATGTTTGTATGAATTTTCATGTGTAATTTATGTAATCGTTGGTATTCTTTCCCTTTCATTTGTCTGCATTTCTTTCTAGCATACACATTTCCTCTACCCCCTATCTTTCTATCTTTCTTCCATGCTGCTTGAATTCCCTGCTTTGCTTCCAACTCTATGCTTTCTCATGCCTGTCTACCTTTTCCAATCTGTCTTTGTATCCTACCCTTTTGCTTCTTCTTTTTCCCATCATTTCTCTGTCCTATTTTCCTTCTTGGTCCCATCCATCGTACCACTTTTGTCTGTTTTACCTTCACTCCTGCAATATTATATCCCCCTACCAACTTCATCTCATTGATTTTGTTATGTAGGCTGAAGGTCCTGGGCACCATCATACCTCATGGGGTTGTTTTCCTCCCTGTGTCATCTGCTCTGCCCCTTGCTCTCCTCCACTTCCGGAACTAGTAAGAAAGATTTAGCCTTGGGCGCCAGTGATGGGCTGAGAGCTTCTACTGAAGCCTGTATGCATGTTTCTAAACCATTCCACCCAATGGGCGACCATTGATGGACTGAGTATCACTGTATGATATTTGCCTATTACCACAGCGCCAAAGCAAAATCCTTCATACTTGGGCCAGAGGAGGAAACCTGTCAGGATTACTGTTTGATCCAGCACGTAGAACTGTATAGCACGGATGACAAATAAGTAACGTATTACCGGTCCTTAGAATGGCCGGATTTAACGTACATAGAATAGTCATAAATACTAGCCGAGGTCAGGGAACACAGAAAGGGACGCAGCGATGAGGAAAGCCAGAAGTCAGGATACCAGAATATAGAGAAATCAATAAACAAAGCCAAAGTCAAAAACCAGGTAGAAAACTATAAACAGGAATGCGCTCTCGGACACCCACAAGTGAAACCACGACAGGGCACTGAGCAGGATGAGAACTGGGCCTAAATACCCTTACCTCTAGATCTGATAGGCTGTAACCGGCCTTTGACCCCAAAGTCAGTTACCAGGTTTCATTTGCATAATTGCTGCTCAGCATTAACCCTTCTGTGGATTAGGTTGCTGCTCGGCACAACTTTTCCTGTGTGGACAGTAAATGTCATTAACCACATTTTTATAAGCGGATGAATACGTGACAAAACCAAGACATGAGGACAACTTAGTGTTAATATGTTGGAAAATTTAACCACACAAGGCAAAATGACAACCAGAGCCTCCAGATGAAGTTGTTCTGGTACTATAGTGTTCCTTATGTTCTCATTGTGTTACTTTTACCCATCATTCTGTCCATCCCCTTGTTTGTGTCCCACTTTCATCTAACCTTCCTCAGTGGAAATGTCTCATCTCCATTGTGAGTACCGTTCATGACCTCTGTCTGCTTCATCTTGCCTTGCATGCCATCTAGATTGTATTGTAAGACAATGAAATGGCTCAGATCCAGGCTTTCCCATTAATTATTCTCCACTAAACTCTTTGTTTACCTTTGTCCTATACTGATATGTAATTTATTTCCATAGGACAAGGAGGACATGTCAACTGGTATTTATACAACAAAATGGTTCTTACAGTGTTTTTTGGACAGAGTAAGTACACATACCTCGCAATCCTTTTTTTATAATGACCTATTCTCAACCCTGAATATTTGAGATATCTATTGCTTTCCCTAACGCCCAAAACTCTAAATCTACCAACTATGGTAAATATTTTCTCTTTGTATTAGAATGAACCAGTAAGGAACCTTCTTTATAAACAAGATAAATAAAAACATCCTCCTCTACCTTCTAAAGGGTAGACTTTTAAGAGAAACATCACAGGGCATGAATGATAGAAATGCTTTGTGTTATCTCTGAGTGGTGCAAAACAAACACATTTGCTCTGTGATGTGAATAATATGGAAATGACCGAAATCCTATATCTTGTAAAGTTCTACAACTGCTTTATTTTTATTTTTTTTACTTGGAGATAATTACCTTTTTCAGGGTTCTTAACTAAAGTGTGAATTTCCTGGAATTGAAAATGAAGTCCAAATTCAGGACAAAATAGATAAATAAGAAAACAGTTTCAAAATCTTTTCTGATTTTAGTTATGACATTTGATGCTTTGAACTTGACTTATTTAAAATTCCCAGCAGTTCTCACCCTGTTTGGTGTCATTTAGCATTGCCTCACCATTTACAGCATTAGCCAAATCTACAAGCAGGCTGAAAAATATTTGACCAACTAATGTTGATTAGTGGTCAGGGGATTTTAACAACTCTTCACCAACTCTGGCTAGGGTATAAATTAATTTTGAAAGAAACAAAACACTTCAACCATCAAAGCTGGATTAAAAGTGCAAATAACAGATAAACTAGTTCCCCCAATATGCCTCAACAGGTGGCATTCTAGCTTTAATAATAGTGCATTTATGAAAGAAGAAAAAAGTAAAATCACACATTTTCATTGTATTGTTTTCATTTTGGGATGTATCGGTCTTAAACGACCACTAAATTTACGCAGGCCACTTCATCTCAATTGAGGGGCATGTGTATAGTGGTCCTGTCAATTTAACACTTCAATGTAAAAACATTGCCATTTGCAGATCCGGTAATATGTACCTTGAATCATTAAGCACACCTCCAGTGACAATGAGAGTCACTAGAGGAGCTTCTGTTGAACTGACCAAATAAAACTTGGTCACATGAGATGGGAGCCCTAATAGGAAAGCATTGATGTAGTGTATTCCTATGAGAATGCTTGAAAGCGTACGCGGCACTTGCTGCACCTCAGTTCCGAGTGCTCCTCTAGGAGGAGCATTGGATTGGATCATGTCAAAGGAGACCATGCCTCCTCTTTGATATTGTGGGAGGTGAGCAGAACAAGGGAGACTCCACACTGGAAAAGGTAAGTGAAAAAAAAAAAGTGAATCTACTATGGGACACACGTGGGGGCTTGTATAACTAGGGACAGGGGCACTAAAACGTTGGGAATGCTGGTTTGTATTCCTTACACTTTTGGTGTTCCTTTATGGCTTAGGATTTTCCTTGTTTGTTACTAGTGGGGGGTTAGATTTTTTTTATTTATTTTTTAACAGCACAAGTACCTGCTTGAAAGACATTGAATTTTGGTGACCGTACTTATGATTGAACAAAGTCACTTTATTCTACCTAAGTGTGGATATTTGAAATGGCTACAGAGTTTTTATCTATTTTATTCCTTTTTGTATTCTCTTTAGACACCATTTACTCTAACCTTGAGACTATGGGACATCTATATCCTGGAAGGGGAAAGAGTGTTACCTGCTATGGCTTACACTATATTGAAACTGCACAAAAGTAAGATATATCTATATCTCTAAAATATATTTATCGTTCTAACATACTTGGAAAATGCATAATACTCACATTATTATATAAATGCAGTGGCAAATGAGTGGAAGTAGAGGCTTGGTAAAATGGGAAATGCCTTTATTTATTTTTGCTGTGCTATAGACATGCTGACAGTAAGTGGAGCATACACGTTTAGCTAGTTATGCTCACAACTCTGCTGTTTATGATGTGTGATTTGCTAATTCTAACACAGAGTACAGCAAGAGCATAGAGGAACCAGCGCTAATCAGAATTGGCCTAAGAACAGCTTTATGCACTGCCTCACAATTAACTAAGTTCTAGGAGTGTGGTCTCCCACTGCTGGCACCCAGAAAGGGACCTCATAATAGTTTTAAAATTCAAAGGGAAACTAGGGAAGCCCTCTTTTTGATCAAGACAATGGAAAATGTGAGGTGGGTGAGTGAGTGATCACTCAAGGGAAGGAAAGGGAGAAGAGAAGAGAGGAAGGGAATATAAATAAGAGGGAGAATAGGAGCCAGAAGGGGACTAAAGAAAGAAAAAACAGTCCCCGAGGGGTGGAAACCCTAGACTCGAGTCCAGACTAGTAAAAGATCTTAAGAAGCTGGATAAAGTTTTATAATGGGACTGGGATATATTCTACAAGAGCGTGAAAAACTGAGATGAAGTTTTAGGAGTGACACGATACTGTTCAAGTTCTCACGTTTATCAGAAGGGCTCTACCAAATTATTTACTGATCGTAGTAAACAACGATAATATACGGTCAAGAGAAAGCAGTTATACACTGGAGAACTTGAGATGAAAGAACAAATTGTTAAGAATATATTCTTCTCTCTTTTCTTTGCCAAGGAAGATTTGGTTTATATATTTTGGTTTATTTTTTAATTGATTAACGTCTTCAAGCTAATTTGAATAGAGAAAGAGAGAAGAAAAGGCAGAAGGCAGAAAAGATACACTTTTTGGGACACTATTGTTTTTTTATTATTATTATTATCACTAGTGACTTAACTATTTATTGCTGACTTGTTATATTATTATTATTTTTTATTTTATTTTTATTTCTTGGGGCTCTCCCTCCCTCCTTCACTCCAATATAGAGTGGAGGCGGAGGAGAAAGACTTTATGTTTAAATACAAGTTTTGGGTTTTTTTCTCCTCTCTCCTGGGTCTCTCTCTCCCTCCTTCAATCTTGTATAGAGTGGAGGCGGAAAAGACAGACTTATGGTTTAAATACAAGTTTGTTTGTTTTGTTTTTTGTGTGCCCTCTACTCCTCTTTCTTCTCTATTAAGGTTTGAGAGGGAAGAAGGATCACATATATTGCTATATATACATATATTACTATTTCGTGCATCCAGAAATCTTTGCTCTTTTGATCTCTAAAAAACATGCCTCCCAAAAAACCTCCATCTGCAGGAAATCCCAAAAAGAATAAATATGTAAATGCATATTACTCTCCCAAATCAGAATCAAGTAAATCTCAATTTTTCAGAAGTTCTATATCCCCCCTCTTTCGGAGGAAGCTCAGGGAAAAAAATTACCCCCAAAATCTGCTCCAGAGTCAATAACGAACCTAAGCCTTACAAAGATGATGGATGATCTTTGTGAAAAGATTAAAAAAGATTTAAAACAAAATCTAGCAGAAGTAATTAAAGAGATGTATATCCTCAATTCTAAATTGATAGAGCAGAATAGTGAAGTTGAAAAAGCACGCATAGTGGTTACTCACCTTCAGTCTCAGAATACATCCCTAAAAAAATCCACTAAAGGAGATGGATAACAAATTACCCTGTTAGAAGACAGATCTCGTTGAAACAATGTAAGACTTAAAGGTATATCGGAGGACCTAAAAAATTGATTTCACTGGATATGTCCCTGAATTTATAGCTCAATTTCTTGACACACCAGTTGACTCTATTCCCTCTAGAGAGATGCCACAGAATTTATAGAGCCAGAAATAGCGATTCCTCCTCTCCTAGAGGCGTAATTATCCGGTTCCTAAACTCTTCTGTAAAATATCTATTCCTGAAACAATTGAGCCTTAATCAATACATTAGAGCTACAAAATTTGAAGGGATAATGGTATTCCCAGACCTTTTTTTAGCTACTATAACGGAAAGAAGACGTTTTAAAGATTTAACATTACAGCTGAGATCAAAAAATATAAGTTACGGATTGGGGATTTCCCACTAAGTTAATAATACTGCATAAAAATCAAAAAATGTATTTGTTAAAGATCCTCTAGAAGATATACCCAGATTGAAAGACTTAGGTATACCAGACTAGGCAATAACTGCATGATAGTACCCAGTGACAGTGGTAATGTTGCTTGAATTAAATACTATTGAAAATATATATATGTATATTCTAACGTGTCTTCTAGATTACTGTCATCTTTAAAGAAACATATACAGTATATATAATATGCAGAGCTCAATTGAAGGTTTAAAGTTCTTTCCTGACAAAATTGTAATCCGTACGACATTACTTTGTTAAACTAAACAACATAGATCAACAAACAAAACAAATGCTCATTTGCAGTTAACTGAGGGTTTAACCTTGCTATCTCATCATTATCATCAAAGTAACTAAAAGAGGCATAAGAGAATACTTAGAACTGACTACTCAAATAGCTTGCCCTTTGGTGGCTGTTTCCAAGCTGGTTTTAACTCATCTTCTGCCATTACAGAAAGAACCTAAAAATAAATTATATTCTAGTAGTGGTGCTGCTAATACCCCTGGGGCACATTTTGTTCCATAGTCAGAAATGGATGTCAATCAACTTACAAGGCATGAAGTCAGTCTTCAAAAAGGAGGTGATGGGTTTAAAGGGATAATGGCAATACAAAGGGAGAATATTAGTTTGCACATCGGACTGATCTGGCCTGCAGAGGAAATCCAGAACTGAAATGCAAGGCAAATACCTTTTACACAGTAGACACCGTAAGAACCTTTGTGAGGTTCACTGACATTATCTAGATCGCATAAAAAATAAGTCAAACTTTTTATTTATTTATTTATTACGAGTAACTGTTTGGCCATTCAGAAAATAGTGAGCAACTCGCATGCAGTATATCTTGTATAAGCGTATATTGTATAATATATATTGTATCATTAATTGTCTTTTGCCTGCAGAACGCTTACTCAAGATGTCCATGGAGGATCTTCGAGAGTTTCTCCAAGAGCAAATTGCCCGGTCTCTAAGCTATGATGATGATATAGTGGTTGAGCAATTACAGACGTCGATGTCAGAGCTACGCAAGCTAAAACTTGAATTGCCACCTCCAGGTGCCACTTACTTTTTGTTTGCATTCTTCATACTATATGCAACTGATGGCTTTAGATATTCAAAAGACTGATTTTTTGTGAAAAAAGTATGAGATGTGTAGTCCACAACAGCCAACTGAACTCCATTATTACCAGGAGCATCACTAGGTCACAATTATACCTGGGGGGTGGTACCTAATGCCTAATCAAATTACTCCTCCCTAAGACCCCAATCAGGGACACACCCAAACCCAACCCTATAATTTCTGCTAGTTCCACCTTTTTGTTGTCACTAATTCTTATCTTTTATTAGAAGCTTATGCATAGCTAATAGCAATAGCTAAATACACAAATAGTCAAAAACGAAAATATACCATCCATTTCATTTCCCCTTTCTCTAATTTCATGTCCCTCAATTTCGTTGCTCCTGCCACCCATCTGCTTAATACCATTGAATTAACCACATCCTCTTATCTTCTTATCATTGAATTAACCCCTTCCTTCCATCTTTCTCATATGATTTAATTAAGCCCTTCCTTCCATCACATTATCCCACACTTCATCATCACCTTCTTCCCTTCTACTCAACCACATTTCTTTTACTCCTTCCACCCTGATTCCATGACCACTTTTTGCCATTTCCTAACCCTCTCATTTCATTACTGAAAAAAGCAAGCTGCACTAGGACTGCCGCATGAGCAACATGAAACTTGTTATCACTGACACCACTTCCGAGTTCCAGAACTTCAATAATCAACTTGAAACATATTTCCATTCCCAGGCAGTCATGCAAACACAATGCAACTGTGGGAAATATACACTTGGTGCTCTAGCAGGGCCACCCCTCACCCCCAGCAACACCCCTAGTTATTGCTATTTTTATCATATGGGGCATAGCAATAAAAGATGGATGGATAGATAGTTTGTGTTCAGTTGTAGGAGGCCTTATCAGTCTCACTCTCTTTGTTCTAAATTAGAATGCTGTTTTGCAAATTAAGGTAAGCATAAAAATGTTTCTCACTATCGTCCACCCGTGGCTAAATCTATTGCAGAGAATCTGTACTAAAATATAGTTGTACCGGGATCACCGCTAAACCGTAAAAAGTATTAAGTGTATTTGCCTATGTTCCCCATGGATTTGTGATTTCTTGTGTGTTTTACCTGCTCCCCGTTCGGGAGACAGAGTGCGAACAAAGCCTGTTCGTCTCCCGAACGGGGACCACTCCAATACGCCATTTAGAATGTTTAGTTAGAATGTTCACACCTCGCTAACGAGGTGTGAAAACCACAAACCGCAAGGGAAGCCACGGCGCATGTCGACCCTGGATGGCGGCCCGTTCATCAGACGAACGCCATCCAGGGGGGAGCATTCACGGATTGTTTCCCACCTTGTTCGGCTCCCGAATGACGACCTCCCCAGAGCCCCTTGGAATGTTCACACCAATCAATTCGAACGGTGACAACTTGCAACATAAATGTGAAACCGCAAGGGAAGTAATTAATGAGTGCTTCCCTGGGTGGCCGCCGTTCGTATAGATGAACGCCGGCAAGGGGGAGCCTTCGTGTCCCGAAAAGAGATGCTTCCCTTGCCTGGTTTCACCCAGGGACCTCGTGAACGGAGGCTGTTCGTGCCGTTTACTGTTCTGAGAGTCCCTGAGATTGGTGGGGACACTCTTTGGGGACAATGGTGGTTTGGCGGGCTTTATGTGCCTGGGAGCCCAGGAGGTGGGGGTCTTTCCTGCGCTTCGACTCCCAGGTACAGAGACTCCTGGAAAGAAGACACCCCTGCCACGGGAAGTGGGAAACCTTGTATTTGGGTGGTGGAAGCAGGGGACAAAGGAAATGGAGTTCCCGTCACATGCACAGACCCCTGGGAGGGAACACTGATGGCGGAAAAAGGGACTAGGGTTCCGGTTCCGATACGTGACCATGGGAGGGGGAGAACCCTGGGAGTGGACATTGTATGCTACCTGTGTTACACCCCCTTGCATGGGGAGAGTATAAAGCCGATTGTGGCCAATAAAGCTGCTGTTGTACCCCTGGAACTGTGTGTCGTCCAGTTACTGGGGGGGGAAATGGGTCTGGTCCTTTATTAATAACGGACGTAACAGCCGGGTTACCCAGGGTCCGCTACAATAGTAAGGATCTGTGGGTTGTTGTTGTTTTTTTTCCTTCTTTTAGGAAATTAGATATTTGTTCAACCTGTAGCGGGGCTTGATACATGATGATCTTTGCCTCACGTGACCCTATCACCAAGATTTATTTTTATTCTTCACAATTTGCTATGTAGCTGTTAACAGTCAGATATAAATGTTTATATTGTTGTTTATATTAGTTAAAATGAAGGTAACATACCAGTTAATTCAGTGGATTAACCCCTTAAGACCGGAGGGCGTACTATTACGCCCTATTCTAAGCGGCTCTAAACGCCGCCGGGCGTAATAGTACGCCTTCCGGTCTTTCGGTACTTACCCAGGGAGCCCCCCGCGGCACGTCTGTCCTCCTCAAAGCCCCCCGGCCATGTGAGAGTGGGGTCCTTGCGAGGACCCCACAATCACATGGCCGGGGGTAGCTGCCTCCTGCATTGCCAGCAGGGGGGCTGCCTGTAATGACAGGTGGTCCCCCTGCTGGCTGAAAATAAAATTAAAATAAATAGTGTAAAAAAAATAATAATATATACTTAGATCAACCCATGCCTGACAACCCATGCCGAAAGTAAAGGGAATTTAATTTGCTAGCACTATATTTAACCCTATAACTTTCCGAGACACCATAAAACCTGTACATGGGGGGTACTGTTCTACTCGGGAGACTTAGCCGAACACAAATATTAGTGTTTCAAAACAGTAAAATGTGTGTATTACAAATCCATGATATCGCCAGAAAAGTTACGTACTTTTCACGACAAACCGTCACATATTCATCCGCTTAGAGAAAAGTGATTAATGACATTTACTGTCCACACAGGAAAAGTTGTGCCGAGCAGCAACCTAATCCACAGAAGGGCTAATGCTGAGCAGCAATTATGCAAATGAAACCTGGTAACTGACTTTGGGGTCAAAGGCCGGTTACAGCCTATCAGAACTAAAGGAGGGGTATTTAGGCCCAGTTCTCAGCCTGCTCAGTGCCCTGTCGTGGTTTCCCTTGTGGTTGTCTGAGAGCGCGTTCCTGTTTATAGTTTTCTACCCGGTTTTTGACTTTGGCTTTGTTTATTGACTTCTCTATATTCTGGTATCCTGACTCCTGGCTTTCCTCATCGCTGTGTCCCTTTCTGTGTTCCCTGACCTCGGCTAGTATTTTTGACTATTCTTTGTACGTTAAATCCGGCCATTCTAAGGACCGGTAATACGTTACTTATTTGTCATCCGTGCTGTACAGTTCTACGTGCTGGATCAAACAGTAATCCTGACATTACGACATGGCCATAGATCCTGTAGAACTGTGTCAGCACATAGCTGCTTGTGAGAGGAAATTAGAGGAGAATGATCACCGCATGGATCAATTCACTCAGGCTTTAAGTACGCTTCTCGCTAGAACGGAGCATCTGCAGCCTGCAGCGTCTCCTCCTATAGCACCTCTACCCTGTGTACCTCCACCCACTGTTAATAGGACTCCTTGCATCTCCTTATCACCATCCCTACAGTTTGATGGCAATATCCAGGAATGCAGGGTTTTTCTTAATCAGGTGGAGTACCATTTTGAGGCCTCACCAGGGTCATTCCCCACGGACAGAGCAAGAATTGGTTATCTAATGAATCAATTAAAGGGCAAGGCCCTTGCCTGGGCTAATCCGTTGTGGGAGAGTAATCGGAGCATAGCTCATAATTACCAGGAATTCCTTGCCGAATTCAAGCTCACGTTTGAGCCATTGGGTAGAGAGGATGACGCCTCCACTGCCCTAATGCACATCAGACAAGGTAACCGGTCTATCTCGGATTATGCTATTGAATTCCGTACCTTAGCTTCCGAGGTAGACTGGACTAACAATGGGTTAATCTCAGCATTCAAAAAGGGTCTCTCAGAGACTATACTAGATGAGATAGCCGCTAAAGAATTACCTAAGAGTCTTAACGAATTTATTACGTTTGTCATGCATATTGATAATAGGTTAAGACTCAGAGAAGTCACCAGAAGCAAGACCAGACGTACGGCTATGTCCCTAGCACCTCAATTCTCTAAACCTGTTTTGTCTAACCTCCCTGTACAGTCCGAACCCGAACCTATGCAGTTGGGGTCACTAGACTGTCAGAGGCCGAAAAACAGTATAGGAGAAGGGAGGGGTTATGCCTATATTGCGGTAGAAAGGGACATATGATAACTAATTGTCCAGTGCGTCCGGAAAACTTCCGCACCTAAGAACCTTAAGGGGACAGATCTTAGGTGTGATGGAGTTGTCCTCTAACAAAAACAAAAGTAGATTCCTCCTTGAGGTATCTATTTCCATTGATAACAAGAAGTTTTCTTGCAGTTCCCTAATGGACTCAGGTGCTGCTGGAAATTTTATTGATGTACAGTTTATTAGGGGTAATGAGATACCGGTCAGGGAGAGACCTACGCCGCTAGCTGTAGAGGCTATTGATGGTAGACCACTCACACAACCGCTTATAACCCACAAAACTGTCCCTATTACGATCTCCATTGGGGCCTCCCATAGGGAGGAGATGACGTTTCAGGTTATTACTTCTCCATCATGTCCTATCATATTAGGGTTTCCGTGGCTGAGTAAGCACAATCCCTATATTGACTGGGCTAATGGGGAGATATTAGAATGGGGTAAAGAGTGTATGGGGAGATGTATAAAACCAGTACTAAAGAGATTGGATACTATTGACCTTCCCACTACCATTCCCCAAACTCCTGGAGTTCCCATACAATACCGAGAACTTCAGGAGGTGTTTAACAAGGCTCAATCTGATGTATTGCCTCCCCACAGAGCATATGACTGTGCCATTAACCTTTTTCCAGGCGCTATGCCACCTAAAGGGGCAGTTTATGCCTTATCTCCCCAGGAGAGTAAAATAATGGAGGAATACATCAAAGAATCCTTGAGCAAAGGGCACATAAGAAAGTCATCCTCACCAGCTGGTGCAGG